TCTCCCTGGCGGGGACATGGTGGTGGACTCTCTGCCGCCCCGCTAGCGGGTGTGAATGAGTTAGACTCCGCCTACATGGAAGGAAACATTCATCACCTGCTCTTTGGCCTCCGGCAGAGTTTAGCTGCTTTTACAGTTTGATCAGATCCGCCTGGGCTGGGTGGAGACAGCTCGCCCTGCATGGTCAGGTAGTTCCCACGAGCAGGTGGGCGTGAGCTTCTGCTGGCCAATCAGTCCATAGGTACAGGAAGTAATCAGACCCCCGATTACTCACTCGCTCTTATATTGCAGCCATTTGCTAAAATCAATCCAATTGATTTCCCCGTCATTAATGAACACACAGCACCCACACCGACAGGAATACACAGAACCAAAACCAGAAACTGACGCATCACATGGTCACAGGTTCAGTCCTGCTGTGACTCATATTTAACTCCGGTGATTTCCATTTCTTCTGATCATCCCTGAGATGGTCCTACACCTTCGCTAGAGTCCCGCTGTGTGTGATTCTACTGACTGGACTTGATTAGGAAAGACACACACCTGTCTATTGGCACTTACACACTAGCATCTGCTCCACTCCACCTGGACCGGTGTCGGTACCAGATCAGCTCAGGGTCCTGCGTCTGCCAAATACGTCACAGTAGATGACTGGCTCAGCGTGACTTACGAAAGCTACGATACCACGTTCATAAAAGCTACGTCAGCAGGCTGACAATGAAGATTCTGATGGGTTAGAATGAATTTACGGTTGTAGTCTTGTAGTCCAAAAATCTACACTTATCGCAGAAATGATTGAATTTCCAAAGGAAATGTAAAATAATGCATGAAGGTCTACCTTCCAACAGGACAATGACCCGAAGCACACAGCTAAAATAACAAAGGAGTGGATTAAAAGCTACTCTGACTGTCCTTGAATGGCCCAGCCAGAGCCCTGACTTCAGCCCAACGGAGCATCTCTGGAGAGACGTAAACATGGACGTCCACCAACGTCCACCATCCAACCTGACAGACCTGGAGAGGATCCCAAACCCCGGTGTAAGAAGCCTGCTGCATCTTTACCAAGAAGACTCGTGGCTGTTCACTCAAAAGGTGCTTCTACTAAACACTGAGCAAAGGGTCTGAACCCTTAGGACCGTGTGATACTTCAGGTAACTTCAGGTGTTCCTTTTAATAAATCTGCAGACATTTCTAAAGTTCTGTCAGGACGGGCTGCTGTGTGTACATTAATGAGGGGTCTGATACGTTGGGTCGGCTGCAGCGCCACACCAACAACCCTAATGAAGACACAGTGACCCCAGCCCACCCAGACAGAACTGCCTGAGTGCAAAAGGCCGATTTTACACCTATGGAATAAACTCCGTGATATGAAGGCACGAACATCTACAGACGACACATTGGTGTCAATGCAATTCAAGATGGCCGCCACAGCTAGCTGACACCAACAACCGATCAGACACAGCATGGTGCGGTAGTAAGAGTGGCTGAACTCTGAACCTGCTGGTGTTTCACGTACTACAGCAGCTGAACTTGTGGGTCAGATCAGCGTTTTGATGCAGCATGATGACATCATCAGAGCAGACGCAGAAACGCTTCAGTCGAACCAGCCAGAGATGATGTCAGTGTTCAGAGCCTCGTGTCCCGGACAGAACCACAAACGGTCTTTTTACGTCCTCAAGGGTCCAACTAACGTCCTCAAACAGAACAGTTTGTCCACGACAAGACTAATGTCCACAGTAACACCCCCCCCAGACCTAGGCTTAAGGTCACAGGGAGGTTGTTGGGGAGCGACTAACAGAGGTTTACCAGCTGAGTCAGGAGCGTTTGCTGTCCATGCCGTGGTTCGTACCTTGAAGTTGATCTGCTGAGCCAGTTCTTTGGCCCGGTGATCCTCAGCACTGGGGTTGCTGTTGGGGGTCAGAGCCAGGAGGGCAGAGCGCATGGAGCAGCTACAGGCTTCACAGCAGAAGTCCTGAGATCTGTGGGAGAACACGAGAACGTCTGAGTCCTACCAAACATCCTTTCTGTTCAAAAGTCACTTCTGAGCAGAAACCTGGAAAGGCCCGCTACTTTAGTTTGAATTAGAGATGCACCGACAATTCAACAGCACCGAAACATGACCCAAACGTGCTTTTTTGGTTTCCAACGGAAACACAAATGAGCAGAAGTCTGTCAGGTGACCCTGTTGTTGTTTCATCTGGCTCCGCCCTCATGTGGCTCCACCCTCATGTGGCTCCACCCTCCTGTGGCTCCGCCCTCATCTGGCTCCACCCTCATCTGGCTCCACCCTCATGTGGCTCCACCCTCATGTGGCTCCGCCCTCATGTGGCTCCGCCCTCACCTGGCTCCGCCCTCATGTGGCTCTGCTCTTTGCTTCATAAAACAGTACATTGGTACTGGTTTAACACCATCGCCATTTTCATTCAGAACTGGTTTGTTTTTAGTGTAATTCACGCCTTTTATGTGATGCTTTTGATGTGTTGGGCCCGCCCCTATTGTCTATTAGGGAGGGGGTGGTGCCCTCATTTTGCAAACAGGCAATAGTGCGACCTGTTCTAAAGAAAACAGGCGTAAATCCGGGAGCCTTAGACAATTATTGTCCGTTTTCAGTATCGACATATCTGGCAAAAGTCTTGTCAAGTACTGCTGATCATTTTAACAGAAACAAGCCATCTGAGCTGCATCGATCAGGATTTCGCGGCTTCATAGTGCTGAGATGACTCTTTTAAAAGTTCTTACTGATATTTTATTAATAAGTGACTGTGGTGATGCTGCAGTTCTGGTTTTAGCTGATGTCACTGCTGCGTGTGACACGGCAGATCATCAGATATTACTGTGTAGGTTACAGCAACAGGTTGGCTTCAAAGGCAACGCTCTAAATTGGTTTAAATCCTATCAGCGGTAGAAGTTGTCCACACGAGTGCCGACAGAGACTCGAGTGCTGCAGCTCATGTCTCAGTGTGGCAGCAGCAGTCCGACACCGCTGTGGTTTTATTACAGGACACATTAAACTGTTATAATCAGTTATAAGCCAGTGCATTTATCTATCATTTATTATTATTTCATAAACACGAGTCAGGTCACGTGAAACATTTTATTTAGTTTTAATTCATGTTGTGCTGAATAATTATTTTCATGGTTTTGTACTTGATTATTGATGATTGATGATTGATTACAATGCCGTGGCTTTAGTGAGGTTAGAACGCTGCGGTTCTACCCGACCTGATCCTTTCTTCTGGTTTTCGGTTTTAAGCCAAGATTTTTGATTTCAAGCTGAGAAGGTCAAGGGTCATTTTCAAACTGAGTAGAAACATCAGGAACCCACAGCTACATGGCAGAGAGTGGACTAGAACCATGACAGTCGAACAGTGTGCGTGTGCGTGCGTGCGTGTGTGTGTGTGTGTGCGTGCGTGCGTGTGTGTGTGTGTATGCGTGCGTGCGTGCGTGTGTGTGTGTGTGTGTAACGTTCTTGCACCAGGGTCAGAATTTGCCACATTTACCATCAACTTTGCTTCTATAGACCTGTTGGGTAGAAACGTTTCAGCAGCCATGCGGTGTGTGAGCATGCTTTCTAAATGAGGCCCAGCTCCTCTCATCTGGTACATGAAGCCACAGAACTCGGACTCAGAACCGCGGGTGGTGCCTTTTAACCATGTGACCAGAGAGAAGTGTGACTTCCTGTGGAGGTCGGCGTGTTAATTAAAGCTTCGGATGACCAAGAGTCTCATCTGCTAATAGATCTGAGACTTGTGTCGGCTCCACTCAATCTGCAATGTGCCGTGAAACTAACCCCCACGTGTCCTCGGGAGACCAGGCATGTTAGACGGGCAAAAGCAGGATGGACCAGGACACGAGTCTGGTCTAACAGAGACATTTCCATCAAAGCAACGATAAGAGTTTACACAAGTTAGGAACGTCCTTCTGAGCCGTTCTGCACCATGAAGCAGCTCCATGTTTGTCTTTGCTGGATGCTTGTGGCCAGAAGGCCTGAGGATGAAGAGGACCACATCCAAGAGTTAACATCAGCCATGATGGACACCAGGACTTGTGGCTTCACTAAACAGGTTACTGTTCTTACTTCAGCTGTTTGCATCAAAATCCACAACAAACCAATTCAATGTTTGTTTACAATGAAGCGGTGAAATGAGGACATTCATGTTCATGATGGGATGTGAACCTCCGACGCACCTGAACAGACCTACATTACGGCTCCACAGAGAGTGAAAACAGACAAATCCATCAGTCTAACGTACTTTTTGGCCAGAGCTCTTCGTTCCTCTGAGGTGTAGTCCAGAGACCCGATTGCACCTTCTCCTTTGGTCGGCATGAATCCGATGATGGCGATTAAAGCCGTTCGAACTGGGAGACAAAAGGGAGGAAAGGTGACAACAGCATCAGGAGTACATCTAAATAAACATGGAGACTGATGAACCCATTACCCAGCCTGTGGCTGTTACAGCTGTGGGTTTCACAGACAACACACACACGAACAACTGGCTCTGTTCGACCCTTTATTCAGCGATTCTTTAATATCAGACGCTGTGTGACCCCACATGAAGGCCCAGAGGACACACACCATCACAGGCTCGCTTATTCAGAACAGCTCCGTGCTTTTTCACATGAGGGTAAAGTTTTAATTAACAGCTGCTGCACATGTCACTGTGTGTGTAAATATAAACACGCTTCTGCTAAATGACATGATGGAATTCATCAGTCACACTCCAGTACAGCAGCAGCCAGCTGTGCTGAACATCTGTCTGAGTCACCGGAGACGGACCTCTCTGGGACCGTCACAACTTGGTGTAATTATCACGCCGGGTCTCCGGTGGTGCAGACAGGATCAGACGTGACAGGTCCTGACCCCTACTAATCCAGCTTCTCTGAGGTAGGTGTGTGTGTGTGTGTGTGTGTGTGTTGTAGGTTTAGATGATGTCGGAGCACCGAGGCGTTTAGGCTCGTAGCTTCAAGATTCACCCAGTCAGCTGCTGCTGGTCCACAGAGCCCAGCATGAGCGGCACACCCCTTTAAAAAGTACTCATTAAACCAGCAGCTCAACCAGCCTTGAGAACAATCCAGAACGTTCTCCAGGCTGGTTTTATCTAACACGTGTTTAACTCCATAACATCAAACTAAGGTTATAAGATAACTTGGAGCACAAAATCTTCACTTTTACTAAATACGGTGGAAGCAAAAAGGGATCCACCCCACAACAAGAACTACTACATCTAGTACTGGTATGAGCACCATGACTCGAGCACAGCACCAAGTCTTCTAGACATGGAACGGACAAGATGGCGACTTATTGCATCATCTGTCTGTTTCCATTCTTCAAGAAGGACCTCCTTTAGAGCCTGGATGCTGGATGGAGAGTGATGCTCTTCCTGCTGACAGCATGAAATGGGAGGGGCTTTTCTTAGTGAAGTAACGCCCTTTTATAGTCACCTGTCTGCTGGACACCTCTTAGATGAACCATTAGACTCACCTGTGGTTGAACACCTGTTCATTTGAATTTGTAGTCTTGAGTCTTTCCTCCTAAGACTACAACTGGGGTGTACTCATGTATGCTGAGCACTGTACATCTGGTGTGGAGCTAGACCAGAGGCTGGAGGAGGGAGCTAGGCTGATGCTGGGGTCCAGACAGGGGTGCTTGTGCTGGTCAGGGTTAGCAGAAGCTAAAGCCTGGTAGGGAATGCAGTGGTTTAGAAGGTCCATGCCCTTCTGACTGGTACCAGGAAGCAGGAACACATTCTGGACTCTCTTGTTTTACTGAACATTCACGATAATAAATCATAGTGCATTTAGTGCCAACCACAGCCTTAAGACGTGTGTTGAACGTGCCCAAGTCCATACTGGGGCGATGGTGGCACAGGAGTTAAGCGCTCGCCCCGTAATCGGAAGGTTGCAGGTTCAAGGCCCGCTCAGTCTGTCGCTGTCAATGTGTCCTTGGGCAAGACACTTAACCCACGTTGCCTGCTAGTGGTGGTCGGAGGGACCGGTGGCGCCAGTGCTCGGCAGCCTCGCCTCTGTCAGTGCGCCCCAGGGCAGCTGTGGCTACATTGTAGCTCATCCCCATCAGTGAATGAATGTGTGTGTGTGAATGGGTGAATGACTGATTGTGTTGTAAAGCACCTTGGGGGGTTCCAGGACTCTAGAAGGCGCTATATCAAATACAGGCCATTTACCATTCAAAAATACAGGCCATACTTATGAGAGCACCATGTGAGCACCTGTGTGTGTACACGCTCTTGTTTATGTAAGGTTTCTCTATAGGAACGTCCAACAGAGAGTGTGAGGGACCACAGATCTGCCCCCCAAAGATGTGTAGGAGATGGAGGGAGCTTCAAGTCCCAGAGATCCAGGCGCACAGGAGCACAGGGATCCCAAGGAGACTGCGACCAGAAAAGCCCCCGCCCCCCTCGAGAGGCGCAGAGGATTACCTCGGGGGGCCACAACCAGCAGCCGGCAGAGTCCCAGGAGATATCAGCGGCAAGCCCACAGGCCCGCCCGCAGCCTCCCAACCCCCAGCCGGCCGAGCCCGGGACTCAGCAACCCGGGACCCAGGGGTGACCACCCCCGCCGGGGACCTAGCAGAGCCCAGGGGCCCAGATCCCACCAGGCAGCCACCGGTATTGATCAGGCAGACGCCAAAAATCTTAAACCCCCTGACCCGGGAGCCACGACTCAGGCAGACCAAGGTACCGCACTCCACACCAGGTGTGGCAGGGGGAGGGGAGACGAAGATCTATATCGTCAAAAAAAGTCCCAGGAGAAGGGAGGAGTCAAAGGCAAAGCAACCCACCACCCCAGACCCCAACCGGACGGCCGGATCTCCCTCCTAGCCTCCAGCCCCAGGAAGCCAAGCAACAACAGAGGTGTGCTAAGACCCCTAGTCTCCCTCCGCCTGCTCCAATATGGTGTTAGTGAGTGATGATGAGGTGTATTCCATGGCTGTGGTGAGCGGGCATCGTCTGGCCTACGCCAGCTGATGCCATCACACCACCCCACTTGCACCCACAGTGTCTAAGTGCAGTTTAAAATTGAAAGTGGGCACCGGCACTCGGGAGGAGTCTGAAAGATCCCCTTGCCAAGTGCTGTTGGATGTGCTCACTCCCAAGGCCCTAAGTGTGTGTTTGCGTGGAATGTCGTTGGTGGAAGTGTTTAAGGTGCAGATAAAATTGAGGGGCGGTCTGCCACAGGAATGCAGAAATGGGGTCCACACCCGCACCCCCTGACTTGTCCACCCCCCAAGGTCCTATGTGCATGTTTGTGTGATGATGTGAGGGAGCAGGAGGAGAGAAATGTGTGGGGATGGGGAGGAATGGCTGGTTGGACTTAAGCCCTCCAGGGAGCCAGCTCCCCCACTGGCCCCAATAGGCACCTCTGTTGCCAAAATGCCACCTAAGGCATGGAGACCCCAGCTCATCTTGCCCAGGCCCAAAGCAGCAGCATCACAGAGCCTCACAGAGTCCGAGGGCACCAACCGAGCCCCACCCCAGCAGAATATCTACTTCCATCCCTGCATTTGCACAACTTCCAGAATATATAAGACATAGGACATCCAGGTAAGGTTGGGTCCTCCCCCTCCTGGACCTTCCCATCCCCTGTGATGGAACAGCAGAAGAGCCAATGTCTACCCGAGGCCCCTGAGCCCGGGCCAGGCACTGCTGCATGTTCCTGCCTTCTTCCCAGCAGCATGCATGTCAGGACCCGACCCCCAAGGCCCCGCCCAGATCCCCACACGGGGCCGGCCACCCCCACACCCCGAGCCCCCACCCAGACCCGCTCAGGGGCAATGCAGCTGCCAGGCAGGATCCATTCTAAAGTTTTCCTCTTTATGTTTAAATCCCTACATGGCATGGCTCCTTCATGTGTCTCTGAGCTGTTAACAACGTTCCTACCAGAACCCCAAGGTCCTGTTCCCAGGCCTCTGGTCTAATTGCCAGTGGTGATGGTGCCTTCTCTGCGGATGGGCCTAAACTGTGGAATAGTGATACAGCTGTGGCTACATTGTAGCTCATCACCACCAGTGGATAAATGACTGGTTGGGCTGTAGTACCCCAAAAGGTGCTATATCTAATGCAAGCCATTCCCATATCCTACCCTTTGAATAAAGGACTGCTCATAGACGTAAACATCTGAAATCTTTACTGAAGATAGAGACAGAGAGAGACTCCTAACCTGAAACCAGGATCTGAGCAAGAGGGTTGTTCTGTAGACAAGGTCACGTTTCTGTCTACAGGTCCTTCTAAAAAAATTAGCATATTGTGATGAAGTTCATTATTGTCTGTAATGTACTGATCAACATTAGACTTTCATATATATTAGATTCATTACACACAACTGAAGTAGTTCAAGCCTTTTATTGTTTCTAATATTGATGATTTTGGCGTACAGCTCATGAAAACCCAAAACTCCTATCTCAAAAAATTAGCATATCATGAAAAGGTTCTCTAAACGAGCTATTAACCTCATCATCTGCATCAACTAATTAACTCTAAACACCTGCAAAAGATTCCTGAGGCTTTTAAAAACTCCCAGCCTGGTTCATTACTCAAAACCGCAATCATGGGTAAGACTGCCGACCTGACTGCTGTCCAGAAGGCCATCATTGACACCCTCAAGCAAGAAGGTAAGACACAGAAAGACATTTCTGAACGAATAGGCTGTTCCCAGAGTGCTGTATCAAGGCACCTCAGTGGGAAGTCAGTGGGAAGGAACAAGTGTGGCAGAAAACGCTGCACAACCAGAAGAGGTGACCGGACCCTGAGGAAGATTGTGGAGAAGGACCGATTCCAGACCTTGGGGGACCTGCGGAAGCAGTGGACTGAGTCTGGAGTAGAAACATCCAGAGCCACCGTGTACAGGCATGTGCAGGAAATGGGCTACAGGTGCCGCATTCCCCAGGTCAAGCCACTTTTGAACCAGAAACAGCGGCAGAAGCGCCTGACCTGGACTACAGAGAAGCAGCACTGGACTGTTGCTCAGTGGTCCAAAGTACTTTTTTCAGATGAAAGCTAATTTTGCACGTCATTCAGAAATCAAGGTGCCAGAGTCTGGAGGAAGACTGGGCAGAGGGAAATGCCAACATGCCTGAAGTCCAGTGTCAAGTACCCACAGTCAGTGATGGTCTGGGGTGCCATGTCAGCTGCTGGTGTTGGTCCACTGTGTTTTATCAAGGGCAGGGTCAACGCAGCTAGCTATCAGGAGATTTTGGAGCACTTCATGCTTCCATCTGCTGAAAAGCTTTATGGAGATGAAGATTTCATTCTTCAGCACGACCTGGCACCTGCTCACAGCGCCAAAACCACTGGTAAATGGTTTACTGACCATGGTATTACTGTGCTCAACTGGCCTGAAATATGCTAATTATCTGAGATAGGAGTTTTGGGTTTTCATGAGCTGTACGCCAAAATCATCAATATTAGAAACAATAAAAGGCTTGAACTACTTCAGTTGTGTGTCATGAATCTAATATATATGAAAGTCTAAAGTTTATCAGTACATTACAGACAATAATGAACTTCATCACAATATGCTAATTTTTTGAGAAGGACCTGTAGTTAGTGGATGAGGAACACGTGTCTGAGAGCTTCGGTGTTGCAGTTCCCCTGTTCTACCACTAGATGCTGTTCCTATGCATGGTCTGAAGTTCTCTCATGTTTGGGAACAGAACAGGTACAAAGTGATGAATACCACACAAAGTGTAAATTAGTTCCTACGCACGATACACGCTCAGATCTGTTCGTAAGTACGGTTGATGCACGAGGCCCCTGGACCAAGTTGCAGAGAGAGGGGTTCAGTCCAAGTGAGACGGGTCTGTGTGGACAACGGTCGTGATGGTGAAAGATGAAACTCACTTTAGTACATCTGAGTTCCAGACGCGAGCTCTGGGTGGAGACAGGAAGAATCCGACTGCAGGTACAAGCAGCAGAAGAGAGTTAATACACACAAGCTGTCCAGGAGGAACGTGGTGATCTTCCTCTGGAGATGTTTGAGGTGTGTGAGGAGCCTTCAAGCAGACCTACAGCTCCACATTTCAGACCCAGTGAAGCAGGAACGAAGCTGCCGGTGATAATGGTCCCCACAGGAACAGAGAATCAGCAGAGGAAACTGAACTCAGAGGGGCGCTGATAAACTGTACGGGAGAACTCAAAGGTCTGCAAGAGCTCAGGTTCCGTTGTAGAGGAGGAGGGACGTAACTGACGTGGTAGAAACTAGCAGCGACAACTTGTGTCTGTGAGGGGCGGGGCAGACACACGGGCGAGTCGTAGAAACAACCAGCAGGCTCACCTCAGACCCGTCCGATCCACCCACCATCCCAGCAGCTCTGTCTAAATGTACCGTCTTCTTCTCAGAGCCTTCTCCAGCTCCGGGTTCATTCCGGTGAGAATGTCACAGAGAATCCTGAGGTGGCCGGAATGGGCTTGCTGGGCTTTTGTGTGATTTATTCTAGTGCAGGTAACCCTGGATGGACAGGAAATGACTACATACGTATACAACTGTGCTAAAGTACATTTGTAGTAACCGTAGTAATAATAGTACACGCAGATGGAATCAGCTTCCTCATGACCTCAGATGTGTTCACCAGCCTTTGGGTGACTGTTCTAGCGCTGCACCTTCTGCACTGTAACTGCTCACCTTTACCTTTGTCCTTTCTAAGTCAAACAGCGCGTGCTGTCAGGTCGGGTTTAATGTCCGCGCCTCTGCGTCTGACATGTGCTACAGGAATAAAGCTGCCTTTAACAACACGAATACTTACTACTCCACGAGGGCTGCCAGGTCTCAGGATGGTGGCCAGAGATGCTCAAACAGATTTTCTTCCCAACTTCAAATCTCCCGTTTGGCTGTGAGGAAAAGACACAATCAGGGACCAATCAGAGACAGCTGTGGGCGGAGACAACCAGCACCTGGAGATCACGGTTTACTTTCATTACCATTCTCTAAACAAATCAGCGTGTATTACAGGTAAAACATGTCCTAACATGAACCAAGGAGTTCCTCTGGGGTCAGCGGATTGACCTCTGAGCGGCACCCCCAGCCTCGCTGATCCGACACCTCCCTGTTCTGGTTCAGGAACAGTGAAGCTGCTGTTCGGAGCCTTACTGTGAGCAGGATGATGCTGGGGGGCTTCATGGGGTATTCTGGAGGAAGAACAATCCTGCCGTGGTAAACCCCTCCATCAAAGTCTGAGTCTGGAGGCCCGCGCACGGAGAAGTGCCACTCAAACAGGTTATCCTGCAGGAGGAGGAGGAGGAGGAGGAGTGAGAACACCGTTCCAGCGGTTCGAGCCCCCGGGTAGGGAGGGAAACCAGAGCGGCATCATTATTATTATTATTGTTTTATAACTGGGTTAACAGGAAACCCGATGAGCTGTACAGGAGAGAGCACTGATGCAGCATCGGAAACCTACCTCCAGAGGCTGAGCGTGGTAGTGTTCAGTAGGGTCCCTCAGCTCTGCCGCCTCCTTCATCAGCCTCTTTACAGCTAGAGACAGATGGACACTACAGTTAGCTACAGCATGTCCCACGCTGTCCTCACCGCTCTCAAACCCTAGAGCAGCAACAGGACCAGGTCTCGTTGCTAAGTCAGACAGGTTACAACAGTTTGGAAAGTGAAACAGAGACTTCCTGTTTCCTGGCAGCGCCATGAGCGCCACAGGTGTGGTCTTCAACGGGAGGCTGATTCAAAGCAGGTGTGTGGAAGAACAGTGGAGCACACGGGGGCCGGTACTACAGGAAAATGTTCTGTTTGTTTACATTTAAGGGGCGGGGCTTAACAGCCGTACCTGAACCAGTGACTGGGGGTTGGTTTCAGCTCAACATAGACGTCTGACTAACAGACAAACGATGGCTGAACAGAGTGAGAGGAATACCATTTAAACCCATTGTGGGTCGCGGCGAAACTCGGTAACAAAAACCAAAACCGTGATCATTTTGATCATTACTGAAGTCTGAATTATTAAATGTGACTATCCAGAGTTCACATTTTAAAGTGGCTGCAGACACACACTCACACCAGCAGGAGGCAGGGTGGAGTTTTTCTGTTCCGATTCAAATTTACAGGAATATTTTAGACCCAAAAACTTCATAAATCACATTAGAATCATGACGGACTTCTAAAAATGTTTTGAAGAAGACACAAACATTTAGACGTTAGTTTAGACCACATGCAACCTTCTATGACAGCAGCAGAGAAGAGCTGCTACGGGAGCCCGGAGGTTCAAACAGGAAACCTGTGTGTGGAATTTTGTTGTCTCTGGAAACACTGATGCTTGGAAAATGTGCTGAAAAACATCAATGGATGCCACAGAGCCTGTGGGGCTCACACTGGAAGGTGGTGTGTTTTCTGACACACACGCTACAGCACCAGTGTTTTGCCTTCGTTCTGCCACCTTCACAGGACTCTTGAGTTCTTCAACAGGAAGGAAGTGCGTAATTCAGAGGGCATGACAAAATAAGAGCATGCTAACTGTTTAACTGATTCTACTGGTTCTGTGGTCATCTGAAACCAAACCCATGGGGACATGTTTTAATTTCACATATTTAACCAGCTGTTTGGACTCCACTGATGTGGCGGAAAGCCTGATGAGGGGTGCCCAATCCTGGTCCTGGAGGGCCGGTATCCAGCAGGTTTTAGTTTTAACCCTCCTTCAACACACCTGGATTCAATCAGCAGGTGATTAACAGGCTTCTGCAGAGCCTGATGAGCTGCTGCACAGGTGATTCAACCTCTGAATCAAGTGTGTTGGAGCAGAGAAACCACAAAACCTGCTGGATACCGGCCCAGGTCGGACCAAAGCGTGAGAAACAACCCAGCCACCGTGTTTGCTCGGGTTTTGTCTCGTTGCCTCTTTTTCACGTGTGGAGTTTGTCGGGGTTGGGCGGTGCCAGATCAATAATACAACCTGGTTTTATGATGACAGCACTGGATGTAGGCACATCTAACATCTGCAGTCCACACAGGCTCCACCTCCTCGTACAGGTGAGCTCCTGCCTCAGAGCAAAGGAGAACAGCACACAGATGTAGTTCAGCTTGGTGCCATCACTGCAGAAGTCACATATGCGGTGCAGGGCTCTCACCCGAACCCCGCCTCTGTAGAACGACCCGTGCCTGTTCAGAAACATCCACACTAGCACCAGCAGACCGACTGGTCATGTTGGGCTGCTGCTGGGAAACGCAGACGATGACCTGTGACCTTTGATGTGACTGGGTCACTGCCAGGTGTTTTATGCTAGTCCTGACTGATGAAGGTGGTCTAGGTGTGCATGAAGGCTGAAGAACATCAGGGCTGTCTCACCTGGGCTCTTCAGGTTGTATTTGTTCTCCATGCTGCTCGTTAACGAGGACGTGTTCTTCAACCAGCTGCTAACACGTCAGCTAACTAGCTTCTGGTTAGCAGCCCGGTGTGCTAGCTCTCTCTGGGGCTCAGATAAAAGCCTTCAGACTAGATGTCTCCTCTCTGCCGGATGATCACACACGCAGCGACCCCCGGAGAAGTCTGGATCCAGCTTATAGACCAAGAATGTCCGTTTCTCAGACGTTTTCACGCGTTTAAGTTTCGAAACCATTCGCTATCCACGTGACGTCATCTTTGGAACGTAAACAGGAAGAAGTGGTTTCTTCTTCTTGCTGGGGGTAAGGCCATTACCGCCACCAACTGGATGGAGGGTGATGCTCACCTTGCTCCGGGAGAGACCAGGAGACACACTTGGCTTCCCCGTTCTTCTTCAGAGACGCAGCCGTAGCTTTAGACGTGTGTTTGGATCGTTGTCGTGTTGGAAAAGTGCACGACGACCAAGTGCATCTTCTCCTTCAGTGTATCACATTGTTGAGTTTATAACTCGTGCAGCCCACATAAGGACACTGCCACCACCATGCTTTACTGTAGGCACCATGCATTTCTTTGAAATCCTCATCTTCACGACGCCATACGGTTTTGAAAGCATTAGTTCCAAAAACAGTGATCTTTGTCTCATCCCTCCAGACTCCCAGTAGTCTTCATCTGTTCCAGCGTGGGCCCTAGATAACCCCAGGTGTGCTGTTTGTGCATGGGCCTCAGGAGAAGCTTCCTTTGTGGACGATCCCCTTGCATGCCATTCCTCTGCACGTGTGCCGTATGATGTCACAGGAAACGGTCCAGTTGGGCTTTCTCCTGCTTTAGCTAACTGCGGTGAACTTACATGGTGACTTTCTTCAACTCCTCTCATCAGAAGACGTTCCTGTCCAGATGTGAACTTCTGTGGACGGCCTGGACGTCTCTGTAAGCTGGTTGCTCTTCCATCCTTCTTATATGTTTGGATCACCGTTGCTGCAGTATTGTGACTGACGTGAAGCTTTGCTGATCTTCTGCTGGCCCTCACCTTTTTGTGTAAAGAAATGATTTCCTGTCTCAGATGTTGACATTTCTCTTCCATGTGGAGCCGTTGCTGACAGCATGAAATGGGAGGGGCTAGTGAAGTAACGCCCTTTTATAGTCACCTGTCTGCTGGACACATCTTAGATGAACCATTAGACTCACCTGTGGTTGAACACCTGTTCATTTGAATTTGTAGTCTTGAGTCTTTCCTCCTAAGATTACATCTGGGGTGTACTCATGTATGCAACATGGACTTGAATGGATCTGTTAGGAAAATCACTTTAGTGTGAAAATGAACAAATGTTGTTTGTAATCGATGGCCCACACCTGTGGGAGGGTTCTGTAGTATGGTACCTCAGAGAAGATGCTGGTTCTGGAAGCAAACTAAAGCTTCTCTGACTGATGTAGAGGGGTGTTGGTTTTATGTTTATGTTTATTTAACAGACGCTTTTATCCAAAGCGACTTACAGTTTATAACCTATAGGGCATGTTGTGATCTGTGGGGGAAACCGGAGTACCCGGAGGAAACCCACGCATGCATGGGGAGAACACGCAACTCCACGCAGAAAGGCGAGTTTTTTGAACCTGCGACCTTCGTGCTGCGAGGCAACAGTGCTAACCACTGCGCCACCATGCAGGTTTTATTAAAGCTTTATAGTTTTAAATCTCAGGTAACTTCATAACATCCTAGCAGACTCTGATTTTGGTTTTTAGTTTTTGAACTCAAACACACGAGAGCCTTTTGTGTATTAGAAGTACAAAGATGCACGGATTCTTTAAAACAAACAAATGTTCCTTTGATTAAAATAGTTTAATGTGCCTAGTTCACAAGGTCATTTTTGCCATTTTTATCAAACATAAAGGTAATTTAGTGGCTAACCCTAACCCACCATCAGCTTAGAGATTTAGGCTCAAATCTACTAAAGTCTGGACAACACTGGATGAATTAAAGCACTCACAACCTCAGTAACACACACACACACACACACACACTTTATAGCTTTGAATTATTCAGGTTTTCTGGGAATACTTGAAAGAGCGGTGCAGCTGCAGCTTCTGTTGTGATCATCGACCTTCGCTCTTTAACATTAAGAGAACCCGGCTGGTCTTATTTACTTGACTCTTGTTTACTCTGTGGTAATGTCACTGGATGATCAGCACTTTATTTCACACCTTGAGTTGAACAGAGGAGAACAACCGTCTGACAACACCTGAATGCGTGTGCTCAGAAAAATTCTGTCCCTGAGACAGACGTAATCCTCTGGAGCTGCTGCCGGTGGATGATGAGAGACAGGAGGGCCTCGTGTCAGAGTGAGCCGGTCTATGGTTTGTGTCCAGAAATCCTTGGAATGAATTTATTCTAAGAGCAGGCCCAGATCTCCAAGTTATCCTGGAGGCAGCGCTGAAACGGATCAGAAGCGCGATGAGGGGAGTCCGAACCTCCATCACTGTCCCAGCCTCTGCTGACAGGAGCTGTACCGCTGCAGGACGCCCAAAAGGTCCTCATAGGAGACGTTTCTGTGGGATGGCAGGGAGCTAGAGACAAGCAGGGAACAAACTTTAAACTGGAACCATCGCAGCTCAACGCTGCCACCTGCAGGCAAACAGTTTTATTATCCTAAACAAGCAACACTCCGACTGAAGTTAGCTGGTTTAAACCTTCAGATGTGATCTGACAGCAGCTTCCTGCTACACCAGGCCCCCACAATGCAACTCTGAAATTGAGTCAAACCCGGAAGTGAAATAAATTGCAGTTCCACCCTCATCCACTAGGGGCTGGTGTCAGAAGCGAGCAAATCCTCATTGACTCCCATGTTAAAAATACCAATTTCACAGCAGAAATAAACATGTTTACAGCCTGGTACCAGAACATGTTTTTGGTTTAAATGATCTAGTTTACACTCATGACAACTCTGAGGGGGGTGAATGTTTTTCTCACTCTTCTGTTTAAGTGTATTAAAAGCCTAAAATTCTGTATAATTAATGAGCATCAGACCCACGTGACCACAGAGCTAGCTCCGTGGAAAGGCCTCAGTAGAGCCTCGGTCTGGCCTGGAAACTGTTCCGCCATTTTGAGTCTCTGTGTGTGTGTATTCTTTTTTGGATATTATTTGTGCAATTGTTGGACAAAATGACTTGCTGTGGCATTAATTGCACTAATAGAGCGTCCAAGGAGTCTCCACTTGATTTTTTTCGGTAAGTAAAATTATATTTATGTATTTTAGGTCACTGCCGAGCTGAGCTTAGATTTTAACATGTACTGTTTAACCATGAAATTTAAATATGATAGGGTAAAACCCAGTGCATTTAACATAATGCTGCACTTTAGAAAATGGGTTGAAATAGAACATGTTGGTGGAGCTGGGTTCCCACTATCGGCTTGTGGAGCTCTCCGAGACCTCTGTGTTCCACCCGGTTTTACCCAGCGGTCAGCCCGGCGTATCTCTGACTCAGAAGCTCTGGTGTTGTGCACAGTTAACTCCGGTTGTAGCTAGGTTGCTACCTCCGTTAGCTTAGCTCCCACCTCTGCGTTAGCTTTGGGTTAGCTTCAGGTTAGCTTGTAGCTAGTTCGACCGGGTGTCGTCGGTTGATCCCAGCCTTACAGCCCCACCCTCAGCTCCTCCTCTCTTCCTTTTATGGAATTGTCTGGGCTTGACGGAACCTGTGACACGGTCAAAATGGCGGTGGTGGCCACCTCCCATTTTAGTACAAAAACTTGTTACTGGAGCCTATGGAAACCCATTGTCCGTATATTTATGTCGATGTGCTACACCTGAAGGTTCACCTGGATCACACATGTTAGCACAGCTGCTTCACCATCATGACAACCCAAAAGGAGACTTCCCCGTGAAGATGAGGAGCAGAAAGGTTCTGTGTTTATGTTTCATGTACAGTAAGAAGCTGCTCATGTCTAAATGTCTGGATAGACAGACGTAATCCTGAAGTTATGAAGCAATAAAGGCAACAAGGAGACGGAGAGTCAGACGGGAGCTCACATGAATTCAGTGAGTCTGATGTGCCAGGGGAGGAACCCCAACGTGCTGTTGACTGGGCCAAACTTCACCACCAGCTCAGGGTCCGGAATGTTCTTCGACTCTGGAAAAAACAAAACACACATGTCAGCGAAACGTATGTCTTAAGCCAACAGAAACATGGCGTGTTTAAGCTCTTAATAACCTAGAAGTTCATCCCAGTAATAACAGGATTAACAACGCTGGGGCCGGGCGATACGGCCTAAAACCAATACCACCACATAGAGGAGTTCACCTCGATAGTGTAACGTGAGGAAATATGGGTTTTCTGTGCAAAAGGTCATTTGACTCGGCTGGGTCGCTGAGAACTTTCACCCACAGATTGTGACCTTTGCAGACATGAAGTCTGCTGGAAACCATAACATCTGAACACCTGCAGTACCAGAAGAAGGAGTTCTCATGGAAAAGTAGTCATGACATAACAAGTCTTAAAACTTTGTTTCTTGATTTTAATGTTAAAATAATCATTATCATTTTGCTCATTATAAATGTGTTTAATCAAATGAATGATTCTTATGCTTTGGGTAATTATAATGGATTAATGAATCCATACTTAGACAATGTTTGAGGATGTTTGTTACCGACCTTCACACACACACTCACACACACCCACACACAGATTCTCACAGTAAACTCCAAAACACATTTGCTGACGCACACGTTTGCTTTGAGAAGAGAAAGGCTTTTGGTAAGTTTCAGTCTTATGATTTCAGTTCGTGCTTGACAACGAAAGAAAGAGGACCTGAATAAACGCTAAAGGGGGGACAGAGCCGGTCGGCTAGTTCCCCCCCCCCCCCCCCCACGCTGTTCCTGCCAAGCCAGGCAGAATAGCTGAATCGCAACTTCTAACGCAGACTCTTTACCGAGTCTTTTGATTTCTGAGTGAACTAAACTTAACAAACGCATCGACAAAACGCTTTTGCATCGACGTGTACCGAGGGCATCTCTGGACCGGGCCGCGGACACCTCCGTCTCCTCTGCCAGCCGCTGGTGTCACCTGGATGAACATCCTCTGGCGTCCCGGATCCAACAGGGAGTCCGATTTTCGGTGAGGCAGAACACAACAGATAGCGTTTTGATGCATCTTTTCCAACTAAACCTAAGTTTATTCAAACCATCACTTTTCACCCAGACACCTGTTTCTTCCTGAAGCAAAATCAGATGCACACACGCATCCATCTCACCTCATGTTCAATTCTCACTACACTTTGCACACACACGCATCCATAATCACATCATATCACTCTCAACCTTCAGCACCTCCAACAGAAGGTCTATTTGAGCAAGAACAGCATATCAACTGTTAAAGATTGTCCCACAAAGTTGCCAATGTTGATTGTTATTTCCTGTTTGTCAATTTCAAAATCATTAGTTTAATTTGAAGAATTAAAACTTTGAATTGTCGAACTTGTTTTCTTTATTGAATTGAAACACAGACACACAGATATTATCGACAGTTTATCGATGAAAACAACCTTTGAGTCTTCTTAAAACTATACAATTTGGTTATTAATTTAATAAAATTAATATCACAAATTAACATGTAGAATGGTTCCTCTTTCATAAAAGAGCATAAACAACAACGCTAAAGTTTGACCAGCCAGCCAGTTCTACAATAGCGATAAGTGGACGATAACTACAGCTATGCACAGAGACAACAGTTGTCCACTAGATGGGGCTGTCACTCGTACTGGTGGTACAGCTTCTTAAAGGGACATGAATGTTGCCAACCTATCTAATTTATTGATACGGGAGAAATTATCTCGATAAGCGTCAGAAATTTCAATAACGATGAATTTTGGACTTACTGCCCAGCCCTAAACCAAAGTTTAACCCAGTAGGTGTGCTTCCATTAACAGAACTTTAGGCTAAATTTACAGGAAGTTCCGGCGTGAGCCCGTCTCCCCTGGACCAGGCCGGCCAAACGGCCATTTTCAGGGACTTTCTCAGTACCTGATCAGGGTGGGCACTTGGAGCAAAAAGTTATTATCAGGAGAAGGAGAATGTTTAAGTGGTTAGCAGCAGTGTGCTAGCCGATGGCCCCCTCCATGAGACCACCACAGCTCAGCAGAACATCGTTGTAGCTTCTTCTGGGGAGAAAAACACTTTTTGCTTTCTTTGACGTTGGATGTGCTACTACTAGTTTATCCGTTTAATTATAGATCCACTAGGATAAATACAATAAAGTTTATCTCTCACCTAATAGAATATTTACTAAGAAATCACAATATAACCATAGAAACACTACGTGCGCGTGCGTGCATGTGTGTGTGTGTGTGTGTGCGTGCGTGTGTGTGTGCGCGTGCGTGTGTGTCTGCTCTGTCTTCTCCATCCCCAGTGAGTCGTGGAGGATGGCTGCTTATACTGAGCCAGGATTCTCTGGAGGTTTCTTCCTGTTAAAAAGGAGTTTTCCTCTCCACTGTCGCTGCATGCTTGCTTAGTATGAGGATTGCTGGGTTCCTTATATAGGAAACATTATTTCTGATTGGCTTAATGAACTGTGAATTGGAATGTTTATTATGTGAAGGTCCTTGAGACGACTCTTGTCGTGATTTGGCGCTTTATAAATAAACTTGAATTGAATGTTCAGCACCTTGGGCTTCCCGACAGGGTTGCAGAGGGCGCTTTATAAATAAAGCTTTGATTGATTAAAACTGCTGTTACTAAACTCCCAACACGGGAAAAAGGGAGGAATTCCCCCATGATGACGTCATTCACGGGGCTTTGTGGTCTCACAGAGCGCTGTAAAAAACAGATTTTTATGGTCATTGAACGCCACATTGGACATCACACAGCTGCTCTCTTCCTCTGAATGGATGCAGTTACATTAAACTTGTAATGCTTTGTGGCGCTGATCAGTGACATGGCTCACTGCCAAAGCAGTTCAGATACGCTGACGTCCTGGAAGGACTGAATGGAGACACAACAGCAGGGAGAACCGGAACATTTTATGTCCCAGTCAATTTCTCTGTCCCAGAATCGATCCTGAAGTTCCGGCAATGGAAACACGGCTAGTACCCGGGTTTAGCGCAGTAATAACACAGGATTAACTCGGTAATAACTACAGATGCGAATCTTCACTTGTCTCACAATTCGATTCGATATCCTGATGCATCACGATGACTTCACATGGATGTTTGTTCATCGATAATGTCAGATAATTGCTTTTTTAAATGAAAACTTGTCTGACACAACCTGCCTCCATTCACAACAGTCCTCAGGACAAAACATGTTCGAAGATTTAACAAAGTAAAAATCTGTTTCCTCAGGCTGAGAAAAACATGCAAATGCTCACGAATCTAAATAAATACTAGAAAGCTACGGGACACGTCCAGTTCTGGCCTTAGACTGAAGTTATAAAACCCATAATGATGTCTGAGCAGCTGTAGAGCCAGGTACTGATGCCGCAGCTCCAGGCTGTCAGAAATAACACCAAATGTTTGTTATTTACTTGAACCCGGTGGTTCGGTTCTGAAGTGTTGGAGAATGAATCAAGTTCTGTTTGACACAGAAAATAAAACAAAAAAAAATCCTAAACTTCCAATAATATTTAAGATGTGTGTTTTATTCTTGCTGATAACACCAGCAGCAGGAGGCGGTGGGCTGGATTAGGATTAAATTACCCAGCTGATGGATCTCCTTCACTAACCAGCTGTCCTGTGTGACCCTCATGTCCATGCTGTCTCTGGAGGAGCAGACAGGAGACAAGACCTCCTGTAAGCTAAAATGAACCAAAGCTTCCTCCCAGCTTCTCTTTAAGCTGAATTTAACATCAGTTTATCTTCATGAAACTAAAGAATAAAGTGGAACAAGAACTTCTATCTTCTATCTCTCCTTTTAACTTGAGTAATAACCCAGGTTTACTCAGTAATAACCCAGGTTTACGCAGTAATAACCCAGGTTTACTCAGTAATAACCCAGGTTTACTCAGTAATAACCCAGGTTTACGCAGTAATAACCCAGGTTTACTCAGTAATAACCCAGGTTTACTCAGTAATAACCCAGGTTTACGCAGTAATAACCCAGGTTTACGCAGTAATAACCCAGGTTTACGCAGTAATAACCCAGGTTTACTCAGTAATAACCCAGGTTTACGCAGTAATAACCCAGGTTTAATGCAGGATTAACTGCTGATTAAGCTCCATTATCTCCACGGATCCATAACATGAAGAAACACACCGAGGGGAATACATCGACCAGGACAACAGTAAAGAACTTCTGTCCGACTGAGTTAGGAGGATCAGAACCAAACAGCAGATGGTAGTGCTGACAACAGGATGTGTTACCTCTGAGAAGGTCGTCCAACATAGAGACACTGATGTCTTTGGAGCTCCTCTCCTTGTTCTCCACAGAGTGGCAGAGCTTTCTTGCTGCCTGGACAATGCTGTGCTTCCCGTCCTCGGGGGACAACACCTTCAGCATGGGCCGGCAGGACACCACTAGCAACATGAAGAGATGTAGGAAGCATGGTTAGGACGCTCATGACCCAAAATAAAAACATCAGCGTAAAATCAGGTGAGGAGACCAGCAGCTGAAAGAACACTGGGACTACCACTTCTGTTTGGGTTCCACTGGAGAGCGAGTCTAAGGAAGTCTGGCTCAGGTTCTGGAAGTTCTGACCTGTTGTTTTCGGTGTGTTCCTAGATTGTTGGCAACTCGGAGCTGCTGAGATTTAGAAGTCAAAAATAAGCCCAGAAAACTAAAGACTGCCTCATTTTCCACCAGAGAAACATGGCGCTACATTAGCTCACATGATCCGTAGGCGAGTTACGGCAGGATTTATGTCTGAAAACGGGCCAACGAGTCAAAACCAGAACTGAACCCTCAAAAACAAGCATTTGCATGTTCCTGCATTCTGGAGGGTTAGGGGGAAAGGCGTTGGACCTTTTGACTGTGTTGATTAAAAAGCAGCTTTTTTAGGGACTCCTGTCCTACCTTTAAACTCAGATGCCTCCTCCCCTGGACTGTAAACAATAAGGCCCAGGCCCTCCGTGTAGCCAACAGAGACTTTCATCTCCTAAGTTGTGAAGAACTGATTTCCTTAGTCTGCTCTTTACTTAATGTCTAGAACCCAAAAAGGCATTTTTGCCTGCGAGAGGAACAGGATCCCCATCTGTTCGTCCTGAAGAAGAGTTTAATCTGCAGAAATGGTTGGACTTTATCTTCAGCTGTCAGAAACCAGACTAACAGTGATTTCACAGACTGCATGGTAAATGGCCTGTATTTGTATAGCACCTTCTCAGGGTTCTACAACCCCCCAAGGCGCTTTACAACACAATCAGTCATTCACCCATTCACACAAAGGTGGTGATGAGCTACCATGTAGCCACAGCTGCCCTGGGGCGCACTGACAGAGGCAAGACTGCCATACACAGGTGCCACCAGTCCCTCTGACCACCACCAGCAGACAAGGCGGGTTAAGTGTCTTGCCCAAGGACACAACTGCAGCATTCTCTGGTCAGAGCCAGGATTGAACCTGCAACCTTCTAACTGCTTGACAACCCGGTCTACCTCCTGAACTACAGCTTGTTCAACCACCGCCAGTATAGAGGTGGGTCTTCAGATGGAAAAACAACTTAGTGGGAGGTGTGAAGTAGCACGATGCAGGTCCGTTAACTTCACACAGCATGTTTACAGACACTCTGGTCCAGGCACATGTTGGGGGTGCTTGAGCACCTGGCTCTGCCTTGTGATTAGCTGTCCCTGCTGTCGCTCCAACTGATAGCCATGGAGACGACTGAGACCGGTGTACACCAACACGGTTTATAGTGGCGACGTTGTGCTGCTGACCTCTACTCAGGACGTTGTGGATCGGTGGGCAGAATACTTCAAAGACCTCCTCAATCCCACCGACACGTCTTCCAGTGAGGAAGCAGAGTCTGGGGACTTTGGGTTGGGCTCTCCAATCTCTGGTGCTGAAGTCACTGAGGTGGTTAAAAAGCTCCTCTGTGGCAAGGCTCCAGGGGTGGATGAGATCCGCCAGAAGTTCCTTAAGGCTCTGGATGTTGTGAGGCGGTGTTGGCTGGCGCGGCTCTGCAACATCGCGTGGACATCGGGGGCAGTCCCACTGGACTGGCAGACCAGGGTGGTGATCCTCTTATTTAAAAAGGGGGACCGCAGGGTGTGTTCCAACTACAGGGGGATCACACTCCTGAGCCTTCCTGGTGAAGTTTTGTAAATTATTGTTTTTACACAAAATCAAACAACAACAAAACCACAGAGGAAAAGGGAACCTGAAGGTTTTCCATCAACAGAACCCTGCCTGGATCAGCGGCTGGTCTGGGCTCTTACCAAAGTGCTGGTCTTGGTCGGTGTTCAGTAACTCCACGCTATGTTTGGATTCATCAGCACCCACCAGTTTCTGCTGCTGCCTCAGTATCTCCTCCTGCAGGTGGGAGCTGTTCTTCTGGAAAACGCCTGAAGAGACAAGTCATTAGAACTCAGTGAGCTGCATCAACCTGGCATTAATATTCAGGTCATTCGTCACTAGGAGAGAGCCTACCGTTATTGTCGTAGACGCTGACATATGACACACCGATGGCCATACACCACACCACCAGGCTGGCTATGTCCGTGTAGCTCAGCTCCTCCTCCGCCACCATTAAGCCAACGTGCACCGGCAACTTCTCCAGAGCCTTCCCGTCAGCCAAAGGGCGGGACGGGTTGGTCCCGGTTCGGTTCCCGGAGAGACGGTTGGCATTCTGATTAAGAGTCGTCTTCTTCTGGTAGTTCGGGAACTCAGACACGGACACCGGCAAAAAGAGAGCGGCTATTGTCCGCTCCCAGAGACGGACTCTCCAGCTCCGGAGACGGACCCGCATCCAGGCAACAGCTGCCCTCTTGACGTGAACCAGAAACAGAAGGAACCGCCATAACAGGCCGTACAGCAGCACCATGGCTGCTGCTGGGTGTCCCAGCGAGTCCTAAACGATGCGGCCGGAGCAGAGCTCACATCAGTTAGCTCGATGCGTGTTAGCCATTCTAGCTGCTCTCTCCGTTCGCCGCCATCTTTGTTTCTTCTTCTTCCTCTTGTTCGGTGTTTGATGGCAGCTTACGTACTTTCAAAATAAAGCTACGCCTCCTTGTGGCTTACCGGTTAACTACAGTCTTTAAAACTGCAACGGGCCTATTCTATCTGTTGCTAAAGCCGTTTCCACCAACTGTAAAAACAGACAACAGAGTAGCCAAATAAAAAATGATGCCCTTGTTTAATAAAAATGCAGCAGTAGAAGCATCTTCTTCATATTAATAAATCAAATATCTGTCAGTTTTTTATCCTTTGTGGTCTGAATTCTGCAGCAGCTACTAGATATCTGCTGGAACTATGGAGCAGAACACAGCATCTGCTGGGCCAAGGAGGACAAGCACTTTCCAGACTTTTATCTGTCAGACGCGGTGATTAGTTAAGAAAGTCAGATACCTTGGTCATATCCTCAGAGGACATGAGAGATGATGATGACATGTGTAGGCAGAGCCGTATGTTACAAGCTCAGGGAAATACATTTGCTCATAAGTTTGGGTCTTGTTGTGACCCCTGTACACGGCCCACCTATGGACTAATATAACAAATGTAATATGCTAGGCTGCAGGTATAATGATGCGTTTGACGCTGAGGAAGCCTAGATGGACGAGTGCAAGGGAGACTTTGTAAATGAAAGGGTGAACACCCTACACGCTGTCTTATAAATAATGTATTTGTAGGCAGAACCATTCTAAAAATGTGATTGTTATATATCGGGCTGCATGGCGGCGCAGTTGTTAGCACTGTTGCCTAGCAGCACGAAGGTTGCAGGTTTGAAACTCGGCTGCGGCCTTTCTGTGTGGAGTTGCGTGTTCTCCCCATGCATGCGTGAGTTTCCTCCGGTACTCCGGTTTCCCCCACAGATCACAACATGCCCTACAAGTTAGAAATTGTAAGTCACTTTGGATAAAAGCATCTGCTAAATAAATAAACATAAACACATCTAACCAGTACCGGTGTCAGTGCAGTACGTTAACCGGTCAAAGATATGGAAACACTGGTATAAAAGTCTTTTCCTTTTTAGATCAGGGAGTTACAATAATTGATGCTTTATTTTCACACTACTGTTATTATTTTCTCTTTTTTTCTGGAACGGCGCTGCTCTGGGTGGCTGCATGTTGGAGTAGCTCTGTTGACTATATGTAAGTTTAGCCTTTTCTTGGGCATTTTTTCTTCTAGTTTCTCAAGAAAAACAGTATTTTTTGGACACGTTACTTTTCTGTTTCTGGTGCTGTGAAGCTTGGAGGATTTTTACTGCTATTTTTTAGCTTTTTTCACTTTTTGAGCATTTGTTATGATGTGTAACCATGGCAACAAGCTGGTTTACAATCGGGAGCAGCTGATTAACATTGGAAAGGCTGAAATAATACCTCAACTGAAGCCACAAATCCCAAATGAGCTAAAACACAAGAAGCGTGGGTGCAGAGTGGGAGCAAAACGGAGACAGAGAAAGAGGAAATTCAAACCATCTCTTCCATCGATCATAATGGGCGATGTGAGATCACTGGCCAACAAGATGGATGAACTCCAAGCCCTTTCAAGGACTCAGCCAGAGTTTCGGCAGTTTCTGAACCGCTGGAGGAGATCATGCAAAGAAGGATTCTCCAGAGAATCAAGAAAATGATGGACAACCCTGAGCATTCTCTTCACAAGACTGTCCGACAACGGAAGAGTGTCTTCAGTCAGAGGCTTCTTCAGTTTGGCTGCAACACTGACCGCTACTGGAGATCCTTCCTGCCAACAGCCATTGTAATATACAACAACTCTTTGATGACTTGATTATTATTATTATTCTGAGCTACTACAGCAATCAGTTTCCCTCTGGGATTAATAAGGTATTTCTGAATTGAATTTGAATTGAATTGTTTCTGTTCTAATGGTAACTTTGTCTCTTATGCTTTAGCGTGTCATAATGCGCTCATTTCTTTTTGATTTGATTTAATCTTTTTCAGCAGGTCACATTTACCAGATGCATTTCTCATGTTGTATATGGTTACAGTATCCAGTCCTCATATTTTTACATGGAATCACCTTTAAAACACGAAAGAAGGCTGAGGTCAACATTACTGTAGAGGTAAGTTTCAGCGCTATAACCCATGCATGATGCTAGTACTCTCGTATAATGCATGATTAATTCCAGGTGAGATGTCTTTGGATTCCAGACCATTCTCCCATAAATGATTCTGTTTTCATTTGTAGTCCTGCTGTTATTCTCTCCATGTGGTAAACCTCTTGTGTTTTGTGTTTATAGTGGGGGATTAGGTAGGTAAAGCCAGGAAATGGTAATCATTTTCTTAGCAACTAGGAGTAATATTTTAATATGGAAAAATGGCCATTTGTTCTGAATGAAGGATTCCCCTCTATTTGGCTCTAACGGTCTTTCCACATTTAAAATGTATTTTTCTAGATCTTTCCAATATTCTGTTAATATCCACTGGATAAAAGGCACTCACTTCCAGAGGTGTGGACTCGAGTCACATGACTTGGACTCGAGTCAGATGCATTTTAGTGACTTATTCTGACTTGACTTGAGAAAATCTATAAAGACTTACGACTTGACTCAACTTGCATCTGTTGACCTGATGATGACTTGAGCATATTTGATATTTTAGCACAAAAGTGGCACGACATGGACAAAACTCTTGGTTCTGGGTCAGGTGTGATCTTGTTCTGCTGAAAGCAGCAGAACTTTGTTTTGAATCAGTTTCAGTCGCACTTTCTGCTTGTTTGAGCAAATAAACGAAGCTTTAAGAAGCTTTATTTCTGGAATTTATTTATTATCATCGTCATTAAATTGGACAGATGATTAAGTTGGACAGATGATTTGAATAAGACTTGAAAATTCAAAGTTAAGGACTTGGGCTTGACTTGGACTTCCACATCATTAACTTTAGACTCGACTTGGACTTGGTTGTCTTTGACTTGGACTTGACTCGAGACTTGACTGGAAAGACCTGTGACTTACACGTGACTTGCAAAGCAGTGACTCGGTCACACCTCTGCTCATGTCTTCCCATCTTATCTGTAGTCTTCTGTGAAGATGGCGATGCCGCTGTGGTCCTATAGGGGGCGCTAGATCCGAAAGCTTAAGCTACGCGGAGCGGTTCTTGTTTCAGAAGAAGAAGCCGATCTGGAGCATCTCCATCTTCTAGGACAACATCCACCGTCTGGTCGGACTCGGGAGGAACAAACACTGCCATGGGGGCTGTTCTGGGACTGTGTTCCATGGCCAGTTGGGTGAGTTTTGTTTTAAAGCACCGATAATCGCGCCGTGGCTGCGGATTGATGTGGTTTTAGCGCGTCGCTACACGCCGTTAGCCTCCCAGAGCTGCGTTTGTTTGTGACGCATTCAGATTTAAGAAGCCACGCATTTACAGGAGAGGCTCTAAAGTGTTTGTTACGTCTGCTTGTGGCGTCGAACGGCCTTTGTAATCACCAGAGTCGTTTAGAATATTAGAACCGCTGCCTTTTGATCTAACTAGTGACGTAAACGCTAGCGCGTGGTGTTTACGTGGGCAGCTCTGTATGACGCGAACATGTAACATCAGTGGTGTTGTTGTAAACACGTCCAGCAGCAGCATGGCGGACAGGTTAGCCCCGCTAAGCGGTGTTTGTGTCGCCAGATCCCGTGCCTGTGCGGCAGCGCCCCCTGTCTGCTGTGCCGCTGCTGCCCCAGCGGAAACAACTCCACGGTGACTCGGCTCATCTACGCCTGCTTCCTGCTGCTGGGAGTGGCCCTGGCCTGCATCATGCTGATGCCTGGGATGGAGGGCCAGCTGAAGAAGGTACAACACTCCACAGCCCTGGTGCTTCTCTTCTAAAGACTCCAATAAAAACAGACATTTTTATCTCTATGGGGTCATGATGTCAGATCATGATGAGCAGCGCCGAGATTTCCACCCTGGATGGTTCATGCTGTATTAGACTCAGCTTACGTCCTGGTCCACGTAGGCCGGGTCCACATCAACCGCTGTACCAGATCTGCACGTGTCTGTTGATGACATCACACTGCAGGCTGTAGGTTTGTGTTGGACCCGACATGTGGGAGTAACATTGGCGTGTGATGTGCTCGGGTTGCCAGATCTTCTCTGGTTGTAGCTTTTCATGGACGACTTTTACATAGAAGTCCATCTTTACCCGGTCCAATAAATACTAAACCCCATAAACAAGTAAAGTTATCATTTACTCACGTGGGCAAATGTGTTTCTGGGGTCCGCGTGCATCGTTGTAAATAACCGTTCAAGAACAAATGAAGTCTAGAGAAGAATTCAGCACTTATACAGACAGAAGAGGTGATGATACCGATTTTGATGCTAATGCTTAGTTTGAGTGGCGTTTCCGTGGTGTGATGTCACGACCCCTGACCCTGAGCATGTCTGGTACCTACTAGGGATGCACCGATGGATCGGCATTTGATCCCAATCGGCCCCTATCGGTTTTGATCAGAGTTTTCAAAATAGATCAAATCAGACCGATCAGGTAGGGTTGTCACGGTAACCACTGTAGCGGTAAACCTGGTAAAAAAGTTGACAATAATAATAACCGTCTTGTTTTTTTTAAAAACATATATTATCTCGGTGGATTAGCGTGGCTGCGGTGTAGGCGCGGTGACCCTTACCAGCCACCGTATCATCTGCTGAAGTTGCCGGCGGCACATGCGCACTTTGTTGTTTACAACCAAAACTTTCTTGAAGCTAAAGCTGAAATAATGGCCAAAGGAGGAGACGGCAGCGCTCAGGAGGACATTTATTATCCCTCTAAGAAGACAAAGTGGGAAGTACGGGCATCTTTTGGATATTTGAAGAATGCCGAGGGACAGCTGATAGAAGACGGCTATCCTGTTTGCAGCACGAGCAGAAAAAGTGTCTGTGAAAGGCAGCAACGCTTCAAATCTCATGACACATCTGCGTGACCATCACCCACAACTCTACAGTCAACGCAAGGCAAGCTAACGTTAGCGTTTTAGCTAAAATGCGTGATCCGAGGATTTGGGTTGAGGGAGAATGCAACGAGTCGCTATATAAAGCAGCCGCAGCGCCGCTACCTGCATATAAACCGTGTCGCGGACACCGCCATGTTTGGTGACTTGTACCATTTTGTTTGTTTTAATGTCGGTTTTGTGTTAGATTTAGTAAACAAGTAAAAATTACTTGTATAAAGGGGTAGGGACATATAAGTTTCCACTTCAGCCTACTCCTTTTCAAACACAGAAGAAGGGATGATATGTATTTTTTCTGTTTGTGGTATTTTTTTAAAAAAATGTATGTTTTCTTTGTTTGAAATAAACTAAACTAATAAAATGACGCTATGCATTACGGGGTTCCCAGGGGCCGATAAGAGTTGGTCTCTCTCCGAGAATAATTATGAATTTAACAACGATTACTGCCTGATGACATTTTCCCACATCTGCAAAGCTCACTGGAAGGACACAAACCGAGGACAATATTTTCCTGATATAGGGTTTATTACTCAAGTAAGGGTAAAAAAGTATCTGATTAGAAGGCTACTCGAGTACTGAGTATCATCTGATCTAATACTTTTAAAATGATGACATCAAACAGACAAAAAATAAGAAGTTATGGGCAAATATTGGTATTTTAAAGACTAAAGGGTAAATATGTAAACAAATAAACAACATAATTACAAAATAACACATTTTAGGCTAAATTTAGACACAAACTGAGGACGATATTTTCCTGACATACAGGGTTTATTTAGTTGTGTGAAAATGAAACACGTTTAAAAAAAAAATACCGCGATAATACCAAAAACCGTGGTAATTTTGGTCACAATAACCGTGAGGTTACATTTTCACACCGTGACAACCCTAATACAGACCATTTTAGATTAGGTTACATTTCCTTTATTCCCAGATTATGTAGTTTGTAGCACTCATTCTAATGTTGTAGAACATTTCTGGCCAATCCACGTGATCGGTATCGGTGATCGGTATCGGTGATCGGTATCGGTGATCGGCAGCAAAAAACCTGATCGGTGCATCCCTAGTACCTACAGCGGAGGAGAGTAGCTGTGACTTTGGATGGTCTAGCCGTTCTGTTGCCTAGCAACCCTGATGGCACCATACAGAAGTTCAAGCTAAACTTAAGTGGTTAGACCGAGTAAACAAACGTCCGGTTTTAGTTTCCTTCAGTCAGACACGAGGATCTAGGGTTCAGCTATGCTGTGGTGATGATGTCATCAGCTGAGGGTCCTGCCAGGTCCCACTTCCTGTTCCATGTGCTGTAGATTCCAGGCTTCTGTGAAGGTGGGATGGGTTCCTCCATCCCTGGCGTGGAGGGCCATGTGAACTGTGACGTGCTGGTCGGCTACAAGGCCGTGTACAGGGTGTGCTTTGGTATGGCCATGTTCTTCCTCCTGTTCTCTCTGATCATGATCAAAGTCAAGAGCAGCCAGGACCCTCGAGCCGCTCTGCATAACGGGTAAGCCCCCGTTGAATCCGTTCCAGCGAGAGTCTACTCAGAGGAGACGCGTTTAATCTGTGGGTCGCCAGCAGAAGGTCAACCACTCTGCTTTGTTTCAGGTTCTGGTTCTTCAAGTTCGCTGCTGCTGCTGCCATCACCATCGGATCGTTCTTCATTTCAGAGGGACCTTTCACTACCGGTAACTGTCCCCGTCCACCAGAGTCGTGTAGTTCAGACTCATCAGGTCAGAATCAAACAAGCAGACCTCAGGTTGACGTCAGAGTCCAGGGTTAGCAGCAGAACGGAGCCGGCTCCTAGACTTTAGCCTTCATGTTAACGATGAATGGATGAACCTCATTCACTTTGTCTCCCAGTTTGGTTCTATGTTGGGATGGCTGGAGCCTTCTGCTTCATCCTCATCCAGCTGGTGTTGCTCATCGACTTTGCTCACTCCTGGAACGAGTCCTGGGTGGAGAAGATGGAGGAGGGAAACTCGCGCTGCTGGTATGCAGGTGTGTGAGAGTGGGTAAGGTTCCCTGACCGTCTGAAGGAACCGGCTAACCTTCTAGATGCTGATGTGTCCACAGCTCTGCTGTCCGTCACCACGCTCAACTACGTGCTGTCCCTGGTGTCTCTGATCATGTTCTACGTCTACTACACCCACTCTGATGGCTGCACGGAGAACAAGGTCTTCATCAGCATCAACCTGCTCCTCTGCACGGCCGCCTCTGTCCTCTCCATCCTGCCACAGATTCAGGTAAGAACCCTCCCTGGTTCCGTCTCACATCTGGATCCAGCTGCTGATGATGTTCTGTTCAGGAGTCCCAGCCCCGCTCCGGCCTGCTGCAGTCCTCCCTGGTGACCCTTTACACCATGTACCTGACCTGGTCGGCCATGACTAACGAGCCAGGTGAGCCGACGCCACGTTCACTCGGCGTTACATCACACGGTCCGCTTCATGTCTGCCGGTGTTGGCTTTAGTTCAGCGATGCTAGTTACACGGTACATCCTGGTCCTGGTTCTGTTTGTGTGGGTCCCTGTGGGAGTCCTGTAGAAGAGACGCGTCCCACAGGGACAGGAACTAGCTCAGTTCGGTGGAGGCTGGTTTGTCCCGAGTCTCTTAAAGCTGTGACCCAGCAGGAACCGGAGCAGCACCAGCGTCAGAACATAGGCGTGTCCCTGGTGCAGACCCATCATGGAGACCGCCACCACGTTGAGATGAATGAGACCCAAGCAGGCGTCCTGCTAGAACCCGTTCTAAACGGAACCAACGCCAGCTTCTTCTGCTTTCACAGACAGGAAGTGTAACCCGAGCCTTCTGGGTATCATCGGGCTGAACAGCACCAGACCTGCTGATCCAGAACATGTGGTTCAGTGGTGGGATGCTCAAGGAATTGTGGGATTGATTCTCTTCCTCATGTGTGTCCTGTACTCCAGGTAAGCTCCTCCTGTGTGTTTAAGCCCCGCCCCTACAGGCTGCTATTAAAGGGTTGCCTCTGCCCCGCAGCATCCGTAACTCGTCCAACACGCAGGTGAACAAGCTGACCCTGACCAGCGACGAGTCCGCTCTGATCGAGGACGGACCTCCGACCGAGAGCTTTGAGGAGGACGGCGGTCTGAACCGAGCGGTGGACAACGAGAAGGACGGCGTCACCTACTCCTACTCGTTTTTCCACTTCATGCTGTTCCTGGCTTCTCTCTACATCATGATGACTCTCACCAACTGGTACAGGTGGGTCACACACACACACACACACACACGGCCCGCCTCCACAAACCCGACGACCCTGAACGACCTCACTGGGGCGCGTTTCCCACGGAGAATAAACAAAGCCTTAGTTATTTAAATGTGTCATTAAAGAAATGAATGAATGAAATGCCTAACTCGTTAAGCGTGTCAAAATCACGTTATTAGTAATCCTCTGGTGTTGGTTTCGCCCATCAGCACGACTGAACCTGCAGGGATCGTGGTTTTGTTTCTGACACATTGGTTAACGGCGGTATCGGCCCACTGATGATTTATGTATGTAATACGGCCGTGACGTGTCCTGCTGATGTGTCTCTGCAGCCCTGACTCCACCTACCAGTCCATGACCAGCAAGTGGCCGTCTGTGTGGGTGAAGATCTCCTCCAGCTGGATCTGCATCGGCCTCTACGTCTGGACCCTCGTGGCTCCTCTGGTTCTGGTCAACAGAGACTTTGACTGAAGCGCCTCGTCTGTGTGTTCCATCACAGCTGATGGCATCTAGCTAGCGTCGGTTACTGTAGCTGTGTTTGTGTGTGTGTGTGTGTGTGTGTGTGTGTGTGTGTGTGTGTGTGTGTGTGTGTGTGTGTGTGTGTGTGTGTGTGTGTGTGTGTGTGTGTGTGTGTGTGTGTGTGTGTGTGTGTGTGTTGGATGGCCGTAGGTGACTCATAAAAAACCAGAATGCATGTTTTAGTTTCCCGTCGTCGCTAACCCGCCGTCCTGCTCTTCTGCTTCTTTGTGCTCATAAGCTGTAAATATCTGGTGAATGTTTTATTTACTCGTATCTTGGGAACGTGCATGCCCCCCGCCTGACTGGCAGGTAGCAGTAGCTCTTATTTGAAGCTTGACGTTGCTGTGGAAACGCTGTTTGTGCAACAGAAGCTTTTATTGTGAAACTCTGGCCCTCGGCAGTGTTGTGCTGTTTCTGTCTCCTCTTCTTTAGACCCTCACCTCAACAAGAGTTTCTCTGCTTTAACATTTCCTTCGTGTGAACATTAAACATGGCGGAAGGCTCTGTGGAGATGTTGCTTTGTAGATTTTAGCCTAAACGCATCAGACGTGTTTGCTTTTTGACCAAAATGTGCTAATTTAAATAAAGAAGTGAGAAAACAGCTGTGCTGTGTTTCTGTACTGGGATCTCACTGGTGTCGTCCTGGCCTGGTGACTGGTTTGTACTACTGCTGAGACGTAGGAGTAAGTCTGGATGAGGCTAGCTGTTAACGAGGCTAGCTCTGGCGTCTGTCCTCCAGCGGGATCTGCCTGTTCTGGCTCCAACTCAACCGTCTTTCTCAGGTTCCTGTTGTATTTTTCTCCCGTTTTTCGTCCTGTTGGTTGTGCTTGGACGTTCTGTGTGAGGCGCTATAGAGAACATCCTCCTTCACGGTGGTGCTGCATGGAGGTCGTGTTGAAGCACATGTCCATGGTTTTACAGCCCAGCTTTGACGTTTGTAGGAGGAGCAGCTTGCAGATGTTTAGTTAAATCTGGAGCACACTTTCAGGAGTTTCTGCTGCACTCGAGTCCAACGAGTCTTGCCGGTCCCCACCACCAGGTCTCCACATGACGGCGGTTAATCCCAAATCATCCAGGCCTCTTGCTGGTGCATGGCCGCTGTACTATGGTGGTCTTCGTTCACCTCAGCCCAGATCTCTCCCTGAATCAGTTGATAGACTTTTTCTCTGAGCTTTGACAGAGCATGGTTTCCTGGGAACCCAGCTCTGCTCCTGCTGCCAGACCCCACCGTGACTCCGCCTCGGCCTGGACTCTCGCTCTACTCCCCTGCCCACCGAGGAGACTTGGTGCATGCCGAGTCTCTGAAGTTGCACTCTAGCTCTAGAGATCAGGTTGTAAGAGGTGAGCGGGAGCTTGTTGGTCTGTTCCTACAGTACAGTGCTGTTGGGCCAAGGCCCCTACAGAGGTCAGCTGAAGGTTCTCCCTCTGGATTTTGGAACTTTGTAAAATAACAGCGGAGATCAGCAGCCCGGGCAGGACCCCATACTGGTAGCTAGATCCATGCCTTGAAGTTTCCTGGGAGCGCCAGCTCTTCCATTCATGTGACTGGACCGTTGCAGTATCTCAGCCATCAAAGAACTTTCCATGAGCTTCTCTGTCAGTGATGAAACCAGGGCTCCAGAGTGTCCTCCACCGTTCCTAGGGCTCTAGCTAGTCTGACACAAAAGGATCCTCTCTGATCCCTGAAGGGGCCAGACAGCCACCACTGATGTAGATGGTCAGGTCATCCATGAAAGCCGGGACCTGGGGTTTAGAGAACGTCTGATCTGGACAGAGACCTGACATTCAACCACTTACAGTTGTGGTCAGAAGTTTACATACACTTGTAAAAAATATAATATAATGGCTCTACTGAGTGTCCCGTTATTTCTAAAACTCTGATTTTTCTCTGATAGAGTGATTGGAACAGATACTTCTTTGTCACAAAAACATTCATGAAGTTTGGTTCTTTAATGTCTTTATTATGGGTTAACAGAGAAAAGTGATCACATTTGCTGGGTCACAAATATACATACAGCAACATGAACTAGCAATTTAGGTGACTTAGAAACGTGTCAGTGAACTGAGCTTCATAGCATGGCCTCTTAACTTATTGTGAGTGATTATGAGTGACTACAGCAGGTGACTTCTCTTAGGCCAGGTAAATAGGGCTCATTGGATACAAACGCCCACAAACGCTACAATGGGAAAGTCAAAGGAGCTCAGCATGGATCTGAAAAAGTGAATTATTGACTTGAACAAGTCAGGAAAGTCACTTGGGGCCATTTCAAAGCAGCTGCAGGTCCCAAGAGCAACAGTGCAAACAATTGTTTGTAAGTATAAGGTGCATGGCACTGTTTCATCACTGCCAACATCAGGAAGAAAACGCAAGCTATCACCTGCTGCTGAGAGAAAATTGGTCAGGAGGGTAAAGAGTGAACCAAGAATCACCAAAAAGCAGATCTGCCAAGAATTAGAAGCTGCTGGAACACAGGTGTCATTGACCACAGTCAAACGTGTTGTGCATCTCCATGGACTGAGAGGCTGCCGTGCAAGAAGGAAGCCCTTGCTCCAAAAGCGGCACCTTAAGGCTCGACTGAAGTTTGCTGCTGATCACATGGACAAAGATAAGACCTTCTGGAGGAAAGTTCTGTGGTCAGACGAAACAAAAATCGAGCTTTTTGGCCACAATGCCCAGCAATATGTTTGGAGGAGAAAAGGTGAGGCCTTTAACCCCAAGAACACCATGCCTACAGTCAAGCATGGTGGTGGGAATATTATGCTGTGGGGCTGTTTTGCTGCCAATGGAACTGGTGCTTTACAGAGAGTAAATGGGATAATGAAGAAGGAGGATTACCTTCACATTCTTCAACATAACCTCAAATTATCAGCACGAAGGTTGGGTCTTGGGCGCAGTTGGGTCTTCCAACAGGACAATGACCCCAAACACACATCAAAAGTGGTAAAGGAATGGCTAAATCAGGCTAGAATAAGGGTTTTAGAATGGCCTTCCCAAAGTCCTGACTTAAACCCCATTGAAAACATGTGGACAGTGCTGAAGAAACAAGTCCATGTCAGAAAGCCATCAAATTTAACTGAACTTCACCAATTCTGTCAAGAGGAGTGGTCAAAGATTCAACCAGAAGCTTGCCAGAAGCTTGTGGATGGCTACCAAAAGCGCCCAATTTAAGTGAAAATGGCTAAGGGACATGTAACCAAATATTAGCACTGCTGTATGTATATTTGTGACCCAGCAAATGTGATCACTTTTCTCTGTTAACCCATAATAAAGACATTAAAGAACCAAACTTCATGAATGTTTTTTGTGACAAAGAAGTATCTGTTCCAATCACTCTATCAGAGAAAAATCAGAGTTTTAGAAATAACGGGACACTCAGTAGAGCCATTATATTATATTTTTTACAAGTGTATGTACACTTCTGACCACAACTGTAGCCTTATTTTATCATCTGATGTCCCCCATCGCGCTGATAAAGGACGGATTCACCTTCTTCACAACCAGGACAGAGAAGGACGTCCCATAGCTTGTTCAGGTTCATCTTTTATTGTTGGAGGTGTAGGTATAGGTGGAGATATGAAGTACAAAAGTGATGCTGCAGTCTTCAGTACAGTGAAAATCCCAGTCTATAAAAGTAGAAATCCTCACATGATCATAAAACTTTCAAAATAAAAGATTTCATCATATGAAAAAATAAACAGCAGAAACGGTTTCTTTAAAAGCAGAAATTTACCGAAAAGCGAGCGTTTTTTTCACTGCGTCATAAACGCACACAATGACTACACACTACACACACACACACGGTACATGGATGTACAACCGAACACGGATGATCTGAGATGCTTCATGAGGTGGGACAAAACTCACAAAGTAACATCACAATTAGGGATATTAAAGGGACACACACACACTCCTGGATTAGTTCTAGTTCTCTTCAGTAACGGTAGTTTCCTGTTTGGAGTTGGTTACAGAAGTCACGTGACTAGTGCTAACACTTAAGGTTAGCATTTGGTTTGCTAACAGACAGAAACATTCAGATCTGAGCCCGTAAACCGCTGCTATGTCTACAGTCAGCTGCTCTGGAGTGGACACGCCCACTTCCCTTTGTCAGATTTCTGAGTCTGGCTTTACTGCAAACGAGAACCTTTATGAAACTTCACAGAGGGCCACGTCATTTGTTTGTAACACACTGTCTTCATCGTTATAACGTCTCCTGAACAGGTGGCTGAAATGATTGGATTGGTTTCTTCACTTCTCTAGTCTTCAGGTCCTGTAGGGGTCCCACCAGGCTCTGATCCTGGGACATGATTTTCTGCTCAAATCCAATTTTTCCACAAACAATTTGATTACTAATCTTTGTTTTTCATTTGAGGACACAGAAGCTTGAAGCTGGAATCAGTCAGCTCTACAATGAGAGCATCTGTTGGAGGCAGATGTTTAACTCGTTATCATCAGCCAGAAGCCTTCAGAGATGAGTCTCCTTTAGGAATAGATGGACCAGTAGACAATGTTGAAGAGGATGTAAGATGCAGGAAAGATGACCCGGGAGTACTTGTCAATAGCGTGTGTGTCGATCCAGACGTTGCTGTAGGTTGTAGAGTTCACGCGGCCCGTCATCTGGTCAGTCTCCATTGCAAGCTCAATCAGCATCCTCTCCCTTCTTACTCCATTTCCCTCGGGCATCCCATAGTTCCCGGTGGTGTTGGCGTCTACTTCACTGTAGCTGGCTGACAGCATGCCAGGATACGCCATTCCACAAGTACAAGCCAGCTGCAGGGAGGAGGAGCACAGTTTATTTAGAAACCAGTTCAACGCTAGAACACTGATGGTCCAGGTAATGATGTGGGTGGGAAGGAGCTGCCTTGCCTCCTACAACCTAGGAACAGTTTGATGATGAACCATGCATGATGGAGCACCGGGCCAGAAGGATAAAATCAGAACTGGGTAGATCAATAATCAAACATGGTGGGTCCAGGTCTAGGAAACATCCCAGACCTTAACGCCAGAGAAAAAGTTCAATAAAAAGCAGCAAACTATGTGAAAACTAGCACTTTTGTCATTCTCTAACGATTTGGCTCAGCGATACAAGCCCAAGTAACCTAGAGTGAATCAGCATGGCGGCCCTGACCTTCTCCCGTAGTTTTCTCTCCTTGCGTTCCTGCAGAGTTGACAGGTAGTTGACAGCAGCATATTCGATGACTGACAGGAAGACAAAGACGAAACTGGCCCACAGGTAAATGTCCACAGCTTTGATGTACGAGACCCTGGGCATGGAGGCGTTGACGCCAGTGATGATGGTGGACATGGTTAACACCGTGGTTATACCTGACACAGGTAGAAAGGTTAAGTTAGGTGGACAACAAGAACAGCTAAACACCTAGACAGCACCAACAAGGGCAGGGCGTGCCCAAAGAGATGGAGAGCCAAATGTTCTTTATTCACTAACTCGCAGTAAAAAGTGAAGAATCAACATTGTCAATCTGGGTGCTGCCATGTTGTGTGTTAGAACTAAAGATGGCCATTGGCCAGTATGGATCTATCCCAGGCCAGCTGTTCCTCTGATGTACACTCCTCCTTTATGCACTTCTCCATGTGCTCTTCATTTGCTCCAGGAAGAAGAGTGAGCGACAGAGGAAAATGATGCACTACCCGTGGGTGGACGGAGAAGACCCGAGCTCCTCCACCCTTCTTAGGCCCAATCTCATTACTTGCACTGTGCCCTGCGGTCTTCAGCAAAGTGCACTTGGAGAAAGTGTGCAGTAGGGCTTCGATGGCGCGGTACGCAAGTGTGCAAATAATTACAGAATTGAGACGAGAAGCATCGTGTCATCAACGCACGCCGGGATGCAGGTCGCTGTGATACTTAAAAAAACCCAAACTTTATTAACAACTTTCAAACAAACAACCTAACCGTTATTTGAAATAAATTTAAATTCATAGCTGCTTTGTTATCAGCTAATCATCCTAAAACGAACACTTGCGTTAGAAAATACATGTTTTCAGAAAAGGCACTTGAGCCTTTTTTCCCAAAGCAATGGATTGTGGGTAATACACTTGAGCCAGAGGCCGCATCGAGGAAGACTTGGGTGAAGTGTGGCTCAAGGGTGCAAAAAGGGGCGTGATCAACTTCCGCATTTGAGAATCGGGACACCCTACGCCAGTGGTCCTCAACAGGTTCTGTGTATTACAGCCAGCGATCCAAACAGCAGTACCCCCCCGGTCCAACATTCCTGCATCAGCACCGGTCCAGACCTCCTGCCTCTGGGTCTTTTTTTTGAGTGGCCCTCAGACCAAGATTCAGAAGATCTTTCATGGACGTAAAAACAAAGAGTCGGAGTACCCGGCCCTGAGGGTCACCAGGGTCCCACCCTGGAGCCAGGCCTGGGGTTGGGGCCCGTGAGCGAGCACCTGGTGGCCGGGTTTCGCCCATGGGGCCCGGCCGGGCTCAGCCCAAACCAGATACATGGGCTCATCCTGTGGACCCACCACCCCCAGGGGGAACATGAAGGATCCGGTGCAATGTGGATCGGGTGGCAGACCAAGGCGGGAGCCTTGGCGGTCCGATCCCCAGACAAGGAAACTGGTTTTTGGGACATGGAACGTCATCACGCTGGCGGGGAAGGAGCAGGAGCGGTATCGGCTAGATGTAGTCGGACTCACCTCGACACATAGCATTGGCTCTGGAGCCCAAGTCCTTGAGAGGGGTTGGACACTCTCCTTTGCTGGAGTTGCTCTGGGTGAGAGGCGGAGGGCTGGGGTTGGCTTTTTGTTAGCCCCAAGACTCTCTGCCTGTGTGTTGGGGTTTACCCCGGGGGACGAGAGGGTAGCTTCCCTGCGCCTTCAGGTCGGGGAACGGGTCCTGACTGTTGTTTGTGCTTATGTTGGATAAATTATGGACACATTGTGTATGATTTTAAACGAAAGTTACATCCAGCCCATTCTTCCCTGGCAACAGACGGGCGTTTGACCTTGCATCTTCCCAGTCCTGGCTTATCAGGAAGAACGCCCTGTGCCAGCACATGCTTGTCTCCCTAAATGTGTGTGCGTTTTATCATTTTTGTGTGTCTTTTAATAAATACTCTTGAGAGGGCTTTTGTCCGACGAGAGCAAAGAGACCACCGACTCTTGTGTATCATTTTATCTCTCTCTCTCCACTTTGCAAAGTCTAAATGGTTTATTGTTAATAAGATTAGTATGGGTTAAATTGATCAGCTTGATGATAAAACCCCTGCATGGTGAGCGTTCCCTTCAGGTAACCCTGGATGGGAAAATGCAAATACCTAACAGGCCAAATATCAGTTCAGAGTACCCACCCTTTTTGGAGTCCCTGGGACGAGTGCTGGATAGTGCTCCATCAGGGGACTCCATTGTCCTGCTGGGGGACTTCAATGCTCACGTGGGCAATGACAGCTTGACCTGGAGGGGTGTGATTGGGAGGAACGGCCCGCCTGATCTGAACTCGAGTGGAGTTTCGTTATTGGACTTCTGTGCAAGCCGCAGTTTGGCCATAACGAACACCATGTTCGAACATAAGGATGCCCACCGGTACACTTGGTACCAGGGCAGCCTAGGTCACAGGTCGATGATAGACTTTGTAGTCGTATCATCTGACCTGCAGCCGTATGTTTTGGACACCTGAGTGAAGAGAGGAGCGGAGCTGTCAACTGATCACCACCTGGTGGTGAGTTGGATCAGATGGCAAGGGAACATGCCGCGTAGACCTGGCAGACCCAAACGCATAGTGAGGGTCTGCTGGAAACGCCTGGCAGAAGAACCTGTCAAGACGGTCTTCAACTCCCACCTCCGGCAGAGCTTTGACCACGTCCCGAGAGCAGTGGGGGACATTGAGTCCGAGTGGGCCTTGTTCCACTCTGCGATTGTTGAGGCGGCTGTTGCTAGCTGTGGACACAAGGTGGCCGGTGCCAGTCGTGGTGGCAACCCCCGTACCCGCTGGTGGACACCAGACGGAGGCCTACAGGGCGTGGCTGGTCTGTGGGTCTCCGGAGGCAGCAGACAAGTACCGGATAGCCAAGCAGGGTGCAGCAGTGGCAGTTGCCGAGGCAAAATCTCGGGCGTGGGAGGAGTTTGGTGAGGCCATGGAGAAAGACTATCAATCGGCTCCAGAGAGATTCTGGCAAACTGTCCAGCGCCTCAGGAGAGGGAGGCAGCAACTCGCTGACACTGTTTACAGTGGGGATGGGGAGCTGCTGACATCAACTGGGGCTATAGTCGGACGGTGGAAGGAATACTTTGAGGAGCTCCTCAATCCCACCTACGTGCATTCCGAGGAGGAACCAGAGCCGGGAGGCCTGGGGATGGACTGTCCGATCTCGGGGGCAGAAGTTGCTGAGGTAGTCAAACAACTACACAGTGGCGGAGCCCCGGGGGCGGATGAGGTTCGTCCTGGGTATCTCAAGGCTATGGATGTTGTAGGGCTGTCATGGTTGACACATCTCTGCAACATTGCGTGGTTATCGGGGGCAGTTCCTGTGGAGTGGCAGACCGGGGCGGTGGTCCCCATCTTTAAGAAGGGTGACCTGAGGGTGTGTTCCAACTATAGGGGGATCACACTCCTCAGCCTCCCTGGAAAGGTCTACTCCAAGGTACTGGAGAGGAGGGTCCGACCGATAGTTGAATCTCAGATAGAGGAGGAGCAATGTGGTTTTGGTCCTGGCCGTGGAACTGTGGACCAGCCGAAACGAGTTTCCTCCGTAGGGTGGCCGGGCTCAGCCTTAGAGATAGGGTGAGGAGCTCGGACATTTGGGAGGGACTCGGAGTAGAACCGCTGCTCCTCCAGATCAAAAGGAGCCAGTTGAGGTGGTTTGGGCATCTGGTCAGGATGCCTCCTGGACGCCTCCCTGGGGAGGTGTTTCGGGCATGTCTTGCCGGCAGGAGACCCCCGGGTCGACCCAGGACACGTTGGAGAGGTTACATCTCCATTCTGGTCCGGGAACGCCTTGGGGTCCTGCCGGAGGAGCTGGTGGAGGTGGCTTGGGAGAGGACGGTTTGGAGCTCCCTAGTTGGGATGCTGCCCCCGTGACCCGGACCCGGATAAGCGGAGGAAGACGACGACGACAGCCAGCGATCCAAACAGCAGTACCCCCCCGGTCCGACATTCCTGCATCAGCACCACCCCACCCCCCCGGTCCAGACCTCTTGCCTCTGGGTTTTTTTTTTTTTGCGTGGCCCTCGGACCATTGTAGTTGAGGATCCCTGCCCTACGCACCCTCACCCCAGGTCGGGATCACGCAATTGAAGGACGCAAGTGTGGAAGTGCGAGTATTGGGATTGGGCCAAAGCGGCACCTGCCCTGGTGAGCTTTTTAAAGGAAGCCACCAGAGCCCTGATGGGCTGGTTCCCTAATCAGGGGAAAGTGGGTGCAGGTGGAGCAGTTCACTCCAGCACTGTGTGTGTGTGTGTGTGTGTGTGTGTGTGTGTGTGTGTGTGTGTGTGTGTGTGTGTGTATTCATTGTTCTAACCCTGCCTCAGTGTTGCCCTGCTGATGCTAAAAATAATCCCGCCACCAGGGGGCGCTTGTTGCACAAAGAAGCTCAACACAGGAAATAACTGCTGAAGAAATCCAGCAGACAACAGAAGCAGAAAGCCCATGAGAGATGACCTGTTGTGTTTCTATGGGACGGGGTTTAAGTGGCACTTTAGTCCCGCTGTAGGACACAGACACTCTGTTTTCATCTGATGGTGTGAAAACGTGGAAAAGGTTTCAGTGACCAATGCCATGAAATTTCAACAATAAAAGAATCCAATTTTCTGTCTTTCTAAACACGAATGAATGAGTATGAGTAAAGCTTCCAGGGGTCGGGGTGGCCAAACAGCCTTGCTGCTATGGCTGCTAACTGTAGCAGTACTTCCTCTCATGGACATAATTTTCACTTTAGAAGTCGGGGGGACACGGGGGTGGGTGGGGGGTGGGGGGGGTGTATCTTTACAGTATGCTCTAATGGGAAACAGGCTTCAACACAAACGGTTGTTTTCCGCTTGGTCCTAGAGCTCATCCAGTGTCAATTTAATATAGCGTAATATTGTTTTTGGATGGTAAAAAGTGCAGGGGTCAAAACTTCACTTTGGAAAAAGTGGGGGGGACATGTCTCCCCCCCCCCCCCCCCCCCCCCAAATTACGTCCATGCTTCCTCTGCTGTTTGAATCAAGCCCATTTCAGCTCACGCGTCTCCTCTGACCCCTAAATCAGCCCACATGTTCCAACAAACAGGATGAAACTGTCTTCTAACCCAGAGGCACCCTGGCCGGGACCGCCCTGCGGTCGATCCAGAAGGACACCCAGGACAGCATGACCATCAGCGTGGCGGGGAAGTAGGTCTGCAGCAGGAAGAAGAAGATGTGACGTCTCAGAGTGAAGTTGATGTACAAACGGTTGTACCAGCCTGGAGAGGAGATGAAAGTGAGAGTGAAGCTTAGCGATGCTCAGACTGAGGCGTAACTGTCCCCGTCCCGCCAGTACCTGTGCTGCTGTAGAAGGCCAGCTTGGTGGTGGTATGGAACTCCTGGATGAGGAACTGGGAGAGAGAAATTCTCTCATCTGTGTTTAACGACCTGTTTCCTTCTTTCCAGTAAAGCATCAGGTCTTCATCTGTGTATGCATCTGAGGAACAGGAAGGAGAGCCGTTACACGTGGGGAGGACAACGCCACCAGTCTTTAACGTGGGCGGGAAATGCCACGAAACAGGTGAAACACCACAATAACATGTTCAGGGCCTTCAGTCAGCCACTTCAACATTTCCTTTTCACAGCTTCTAGTTTTCACTCAGCTGGTTACCGTGGTGACCCAAGTGGAAGCCACTAGACGACGCGTTGACATTTCTGTCAGTCTTGGTTTTCCGTACATTTCTTAGAAACTAAGTTTTCCTGATTTTAGATGATTATATTTTGGGTTTTAGGAGCACAGACAGACTTCAGTTATCTTCAGAAAACTCTGTTCATGTATTAAACTGACAGATATAAACTTGTAGCAGGGGTCTGGTGCACCGAGTGTGTGACTGACTCCAGTCCTTTATGTCCAACCGTGTCCTCAGAGGTCAACTTCATGAACGCCTCCTTAGATCCCACATGAAGGTCTGTGGTGAACGTAGGATCCCACTGAGCTGCAGCCAGTGGCGGCAGCTTAGTGATGGATATGGATTCACTCCGAAACCGGTTTGCAGCAGGTTTCACTCATGACCAGGTCATGATGGCACCTCTGCCAGCAAACAGTTTTGAAATTTTTCATCTCACATTAGTCAGAATGTCTGAGTGTAAAGTCAGCCCAAGCCCAAGCAGCTGAACATAGTCCAAACCTGTCTCTTACAGGGGAAAGATGACAGATTCAAAAAGCTCGACAGTTTTATTTCCAACCGCTTTTATCACTCACAGCTCTCGATCTCCAGCGAGCACGTCTGCGTGTCGAGGGGAAACCGACTCAGGTCCATGTTGCACATAGCCGTCACCGTTACTCTGCAGAGACGAGAACAACTCTGACTTCAACAGAAGTGGTTTCCGTCAGGAAGTGTGTTAAAGAAAACCAGCGCAGAAATACCTCAGGCTGTAGAGGACTTTGCCATCGGGGTAAACTCGCAACATGACGTTGTCAGTCGTTGTGTCATGAGTAAAGGACTTCTTGGAGTGGACAAAAAACATGTCAGGAACCCATATTTTCTTCACTAGACGGCCATCAAAGGTCATGCTCTGGTTAGTGTTGCTCTTAAAGGACAGACGCTCATCTTTCCAGTAGTGTCTCAGATACAGGGTCATGGTAAAATCCTGAAAGGATGAGAGGAAAATGGTTTCACCACAACATCTCCACCGTCGACTCCATGAAGATGCCTCTAATACGTACCATATCAACCTCAGATATAGCATCTAGGCTTTCAACCTGAACATCCACTCCAACTGGGACAGCAGGTCCTGGTGACAAGAAACAGCTGCTGAGACAAAGTTCAACAGACTTGTTGTTTACAGCCAAACCGTTCGAAAACCACACAGATGCTAATCATCACCTGCTGATGCTGCTCCTTCTAGGACGGAACCTTCTGAAACCTCCAGAATCTTCTGAGGCGACATCGCACATTTGTAGGAGCCATTCATGGTGTGTGTGTGTGTGTGTGTGTGTGTGTGTGTGTGTGTGTGTGTGTGTGTGTGTGTGTGTGTGTGTGTGTGTGTGTGTGTGTGTGCGTGCGTGTGTATGTGTGAATTGTGCTGCACCTGGTGCTACTGGTGATTGGTGGCACCGAGGGAGTGGCTATAAATGTGTGTGCGCGCCTGCATCATGATGGTGGGAGGAGCTTGGGGAGAGACTTCTGTTGACCGTATTAAACATCAAGGAACTGTGTGTGAGGTATGGTTTGACAATCCATCAGTGACCTGAGTAAGAGGCTGTTTTGTGTTACGTCCTCCTGGATAGTAAATACCCGCTGTGCAGTGGTTCAGTCAGCGCGTCATCAATCTGCCCCTTGACTCAGCCTACGGTGGCGAGTTTGAATATGTGTTCAAATAGACGCCACAATCACATTTATGCATGACGTCACTCTGCTTCAACCCAGCAACAGGCGGGACGTCAGGAAGGGCGACTTTTCTGTCTTAAGTGAATGGACGTGCACCTCAGGCTTTTACGGTTACTAGTTATAACTAGTCCTAGTTATAACCACAACTATAACTAGCTCTAATTATAACTAGTGGTAAATATAACTACAGCTAGTTATAACTATAGCTAGTTATAACTATAGCTAGTTATAACTAGCTGTAGTTATAACTAGCTATAGTTATAACTACAGCTAGTTATAACTATAGCTAGTTATAACTACAACTATAACTATAGTTAGTTGTAACTATAGCTAGTTATAGTTATAACTAGTCCTAGTTATAACTATAACTAGCTATAGTTACAACTAGGACTACTTATAACTATAGCTAGTTATAGTTATAACTAACTATAGTTATAGTTGTATTTATAACTAGCTATAGTTATAACTAGCTGTAGTTATATTTACCACTAGTTATAATTAGAGCTAGTTATAACTATAACTATAGCTAGTTATAGTTATAACTAACTATAGTTATAGTTGTAGATATAACTAGCTATAGTTACAACTAGCTGTAGTTATATCTACCACTAGTTATAACAATGGCTAGTTATAGTTATAACTAGTGGTAGATAAACTATAGCTAGTTATAACTACAATTATAACTAGCTATAGTTACAACTAGCTGTAGTTATATCTACCACTAGTTATAACAATGGCTAGTTATAGTTATAACTAGTGGTAGATAAACTATAGCTAGTTATAACTACAATTATAACTAGCTATAGTTACAACTAGGACTACTTATAACTATAGCTAGTTATAGTCTCGTCTCGTCTTCCTCCGCTTATCCGGGTCCGGGTCGCGGGGGCAGCATCCCAACTAGGGAGCTCCAGGCCGTCCTCTCCCCGGCCACCTCCACCAGCTCCTCCGGCAGGACCCCAAGGCGTTCCCGGACCAGATTGGAGATGTAACCTCTCCAACGTGTCCTGGGTCGACCCGGGGGCCTTCTGCCGGCAGGACATGCCCGAAACACCTCCCCGGGGAGGCGTCCAGGAGGCATCCTGACCAGATGCCCAAACCACCTCAACTGGCTCCTTTCGATCCGGAGGAGCAGCGGTTCTACTCCAAGTCCCTCCCGAATGTCCGAGCTCCTCACCCTATCTCTAAGGCTGAGCCCGGCCACCCTACGGAGGAAACTCATTTCGGCCGCTTGTATCCGCAATCTCGTTCTTTCGGTCATTACCCAAAGCTCATGACCATAGGTGAGGATTGGGACGTAGATCGACCGGTAAATCGAGAGCCTGGCTTTCTGGCTCAGCTCCCTCTTCCCCACGACAGATCGGCTCAGCGTCCGCATCACTGCAGACGCCGAACCAATCCGCCTGTCGATCTCCCGATCCCTCCTACCCTCACTCGTGAACAAGACCCCGAGATACTTAAACTCCTCCACTTGAGGTAGGACCTCTCCCCCGACCCGGAGGTGGCAAGCCACCCTATTCCGGTCGAGAACCATGGTCTCAGATTTGGAGGTGCTGATCCTCATCCCAGCCGCTTCACATTCGGCCGCGAACCTACCCTGCAAGAGCTGAAGGTCAGAGCTGGATGAAGCTAGGAGGACCACATCATCCGCAAAAAGCAGAGACGAGATTCTCCTGCCACCAAACTCGACACACTCCACACCACGGCTGCGTCTAGAAATTCTGTCCATAAAAGTGATGAACAGAACCGGTGACAAAGGGCAGCCCTGGCGGAGTCCAACCCTCACTGGGAACAGGTCCGACTTACTACCGGCTATGCGGACCAAACTCACGCTCCTCTGGTAAAGGGACTGAATGGCCCTTAACAGAAAGCCACCCACCCCATACTCCTGGAGCGTCCCCCACAGGGTGCCCCTGGGGACACGGTCATAAGCCTTCTCCAAATCCACAAAGCACATGTGGATTGGTTGGGCAAACTCCCATGCCCCCTCCATCACCCTTGCAAGGGTATAGAGCTGGTCCACAGTTCCACGGCCAGGACGAAAACCACATTGCTCCTCCTCTATCTGAGATTCAACTATTGATCGGACCCTCCTCTCCAGTACCTTGGCGTAGACCTTTCCAGGGAGGCTGAGGAGTGTGATCCCCCTATAGTTGGAACACACCCTCAGGTCACCCTTCTTAAAGATGGGGACCACCACCCCGGTCTGCCACTCCCTAGGAACTGCCCCCGATGACCATGCAATGTTGTAGAGACGTGTCAACCATGACAGCCCTACAACATCCATAGCCTTGAGATACCCAGGACGAACCTCATCCGCCCCCGGGGCTCCGCCGCTGTGTAGTTGTTTGACTACCTCAGCAACTTCTGCCCCCGAGATTGGACAGTCCATCCCCAGGCCTCCCAGCTCTGGTTCCTCCTCGGAATGCGCATTGGTGGGATTGAGGAGCTCCTCAAAGTATTCCTTCCACCGTCCGACTATAGCCTCAGTTGACGTCAGCAGCTCCCCATCCCCACTGTAAACAGTGTGAGCGAGTTGCTGCCTTCCTCTCCTGAGGCGCCGGACAGTTTGCCAGAACCTCTTTGGAGCCGATCGATAGTCTTTCTCCATGGCCTCACCAAACTCCTCCCACGCCCGAGATTTTGCCTCGGCAACTGCCACTGCTGTACCCCGCTTGGCTATCCGGTACCTGTCTGCTGCCTCCGGAGACCCACAGACCAGCCACGCCCTGTAGGCCTCCTTCTTCAGCCTGACGGCTCCCCGAACCTCTGGTGTCCACCAGCGGGTACGGGGGTTGCCACCACGACTGGCACCGGCCACCTTACGACCACAGCTAGCAACAGCCGCCTCGACAATCGCAGAGTGGAACAAGGCCCACTCGGACTCAATGTCCCCCACTGCTCTCGGGACGTGGTCAAAGCTCTGCCGGAGGTGGGAGTTGAAGACCGTCTTGACAGGTTCTTCTGCCAGGCGTTCCCAGCAGACCCTCACTATGCGTTCGGGTCTGCCAGGTCAACGCGGCATGTTCCCTTGCCATCTGATCCAACTCACCACCAGGTGGTGATCAGTTGACAGCTCCGCCCCTCTCTTCACTTGGGTGTCCAAAACATACGGCCGCAGGTCAGATGATACGACTACAAAATCTATCATCGACCTGTGACCTACGCTGCCCTGGTACCAAGTGTACCGGTGGGCATCCTTATGTTCGAACATGGTGTTCGTTATGGCCAAACTGCGGCTTGCACAGAAGTCCAATAACGAAACTCCACTCGAGTTCAGATTAGGTGGGCCGTTCCTCCCAATCACACCCCTCCAGGTCAAGCTGTCATTGCCCACGTGAGCATTGAAGTCCCCCAGCAGGACAATGGAGTCCCCTGATGGAGCACTATCTAGCACTCGTCCCAGGGACTCCAAAAAGGGTGGGTACTCTGAACTGATATTTGGCCCATAAGCACAAACAACAGTCAGGACCCGTTCCCCGACCCGAAGGCGCAAGGAAGCTACCCTCTTGTCCCCCGGGGTAAACCCCAACACACAGGCAGAGAGTCTCGGGGCTAACAAAAAGCCAACCCCAGCCCTCCGCCTCTCACCCGGAGCAACTCCAGCAAAGTAGAGTGTCCAACCCCTCTCCAGGTCTCGGGTTCCAGAGCCAATGCAATGTGTCGAGGTGAGTCCGACTATATCTAGCCGGTACCGCTCAACCTCTGCCACAAGCTCCGGCTCCTTCCCCGCCAGCGAGGTGACGTTCCATGTCCCAAAAACTAGTTTTCTTGTCCGGGGATTGGACCGCCAAGGCTCCCGCCTTGGTCTGCCACCCGATTCGCATTGCACCGGACCCTTCATGTTCCTCCTGCGGGTGGTGGGTCCACAGTTGGACGAGCCCATGTATCCGGTTCGGGCTGGGCCCGGCCGGGCCCCAAGGGCGAAAGCCCGGCCACCAGGCGCTCGCTCACGGGCCCCAACCCCAGGCCTGGCTCCAGGGTGGGACCCCGGTAACCCTCCGGGCCAGGTACTCCGACTCTTCGTTTTAACCGCCATGAAAGATCCTTCGAACCGTTCTTTGTCTCACCCTTCACCTAAGACCAATTTGTCATGGGAGACCCTACCAGGGGCACTAAGTGCCCCAGACAACATAGCTCCTAGGATCATTAGGGCACTCAAACTCCTCCACCACAATAAGGTGACGGTTCAAAGAGGAGTAGCTAGTTATAGTTATAACTAACTATAGTTATAGTTATAACTAGCTATAGTTATAACTAGCTGTAGTTATATTTACCACTAGTTATAATTAGAGCTAGTTATAGTTGTAGTTATAACTAGGACTAGTTATAACTACAACTATAACTATAGTTAGTTATAACTATAACTATAGCTAGTTATAGTTATAACTAACTATAGTTATA